AAGACAGAAACTGTTAACTCTTATAAAACTCTGAATGAGAGATTCAGTACAATTCCAGAACTTGCTTTGCACACAGAAAGACACTTTCTCTGATACAGCAAAGAAGGACTGGGACACAGCACAGGTAAACAAAAGGCTAATTAACATAAAATTCCCCCGAGTTTTGAATTGGACTCAGTGAGCATGTGAAAATTCAAGCACAGGTCCATTACAGAACATGGGAACAGGAATGCACATTCAACCTCTTTTGGAATTTGAATGGGGGAAAGTATGTAAATCTGGGGATCAGGGACAGAAGTTGAGTGTCCCTGAGCATGACCCAGTTACTAAACTCCTTGGAGAAACCTTCAGCAGTGTATCTGCCTTGCTCAATCTCCACACGGTCAGTGTAAGCATTCCAGGCTGAAGAACAGGATCAAATGCAGTCATATAGGGCATTTCTAGGAATGCACTGCAATCACAGATTTAGTTTCTAAAATCAAAGGTGGTTGGACCACAGGGCCCAACACTCTGTCATGAATGTTCTTTTCTCCAAGAATCAGAGGTAGGATCCCATGAAAATATATCATGTCCCCAGAGTCTTAGACTTAAATGATCATGAGCAGGAAGGAGATAACTCCACTCTATCAGCAAAACTAAGCTATTCAAATAGGTATCCCAGATTATAATAAATGTCCTGAAACACACAGAGGTCCAAGCTCTACTTGGCAGGGACATGACTATTCTTGTTATTAATAGATAGCTCATGCTGAACCAATCCACCATGATGCTCTCCTTCCTTTAGAGGTACACTTGCCCAGAAAGAGGGAAGAAGAGAATGTACCTAGGAAGTCAGCCAGGAGGCTTTAGAAAAGATTTGAAAACTTCCAGTTAGCATGGCAGGTGTAATGTAGCTATAAGGAATATGAGCTGGACTCTGTTATGCTTCAGAATAAACTGTCAGCTTGTCATAAATATAGGTGGAAGGGTAGCAACCTTTATGTATGTAGTAGCATAAAATCCCTCCTTGGCAGCTGTTCTGGACTGCTTTACCTGTAAGGGGTTAAACAGTTCAAATAACCTAGTTGACACCTGACCAGAAGGACCAATGAGGAAAGAAGATACCTTCAAATCTTGGGGGTGGGGGAAGGATTTGTTGTTGCTTTCTTTGTTTGTTCCCTCTCTGGATGGAGAGAGAAGCCAAGCAGGTACAACATCTCCTGAAAATATACCTGGAATAATCCATCTAAAATTACAGAAATTGTAAGTAGGGCAAGGAAATGCATTAGGTTACCTTTTGTTTTAGCTTGTGATTTTTTTTAAGCTACAGAGATAGTTTTATTCCTGTTTTTGTAACTGTAAAGCTGAGCCCAGAGGGGAATCCTCTGTGTTTTAAATCTTTTATTTACCCTGTAAAGCTACCTTCTATCCTGATTTTGCAGGTGTGATTCTTTTATTTTTTTTCTTTCTAAATAAAGTTCTTCTTTTAAGAACCTGATTGATTTCAGTATCCTGAAGACAAAGGGCCTGGTCTGTGCTTACATTGATAAGGCCATTGGTTGGTATATTATTCTCAAACCTCCCCAGGAAAGGGGATGAAGGGGCTGGGGGGAATGTTTTGTGGGGATAGGGATTCCAAGTGACCCTTCCCTGAATTTTTGTGTAAATCTCTTGGTGGTGGCAGCAATACCATCCAAGGACAAGGAAAGGAATTTGTGCCTTAGGGAAGTTTTAACCTAAACTGGTAAAATATAAGCGTAGGGGGTCTTTCATGCGGGTCCCCACATCTGTACCCCAGAGTTCAGAGTCGGGGGACGGAACCCTGACACAGCTAAATTACAATCCAGAATCTTTATTACTAGTGATGACACATCAGTGAGGAAGAACACAGCTTGATCTTTAGATCTCAAAGTGAATTTTCAATACTGACAGCTAGAAAAGTCATCTCCCTGACTTGTGAACTGAGCAAATTTTACATGGAAGTCCTATAGGGAGAAAAACTGGCATGATATTATGCCTTTTTACAGTCACTTCTTTGACTATGACTGATTTAAATAAATCTATTTTGTTTAGTTTCAGGGCTTGTTCTAATTTCTCAATGATACTAGTAAAAAGGATGTCCTCATTCCGTTCTTCAGCATGCACTGTCTTTCTGAAGTCAGTGGGAACTGCTACATTCAACACTTCTGAAAACCAAGCACTAGCTCACTGTAGATTAAAGGAAGATATGCCCCTCGTTCATGCAAACTATGATGAGACATAGCCAATAGATATGGGTCAAGGTTACCTGAAGCCCTCTCAAAATGCTTGGCTCTATTATACATATACAAGAGTTTTCTCAGTCCAACTAACATGCTGTTACTCCAGTCTATGAACAATGAACAATTCAAAACTCAGAATCTCTAAATATGGCTAAAACAGATGATATTTTAGTTTCAGTCTCCATATAGTGTATACCCTGGTAAAATATAGTAGCCAACGCGAAAGTCATTAGATTGCTGTTGCTTATTCGGTCCCTGAGTTTTCTAACAAGTTTCTTTTTCTTGCTTCTTTTTCTGCCTTCTTTTTCATTTTATTTTCTACATAACATGTGTCTCGACACAACTAATCTATGCAACATAAATGAATCAAATATAAAAGGCACATAAATGTCCATGCTTAACCAGAACAAGTATAGTCACAAACGTGTGTGTTCACCCCTAACACAATTAAACAGATTGTTTCTCTGGATTTTCTGTTTTTCATATCCAATACTTTCCAGTGACAACATTACCAACCCATAAACATGAGCAGCAAACCTTCTATGAAAAGTCTGTATACTGTTAATTACCCATATAAGAGTCTATTTTCTCATCACATCCCAAATACCGCCTTTGAATATACAAAGCACGATCTAGGACTTCAAGAAATTTTACATATGAATCAAAAGGGAGAATTTGGTCCTAAAGTTTATGGAAAGGCAGCAGTCCAGTTAAGGTTGAGGTTACTTCCCAATAAAAGCTTCATTTTGCCTCCTAACCAAAAATCTTCAGAGTACACTCTTTGTGCTGCAGGTTCTTCATATTTGGCCAGCAGACAATTTCTCCCATATTTCTGGGGATTCTAAAAGTTATTCTGGATTTAGATAAAAATAAGTCGATCAATACTTTTTGAAAATCTGCTAAAAACAGCTTTTCCTAAAAAACCTAAAATGAAATTTATTTGAAAGAGCTTGAGGAGCTGAAGTGCAAAGGACTGACTTTGTGATGGGAAAAGGTGTAGTTGGGCAGTTACTCCCTGGAGCGACAGGCATGTCCATCAGACTCCTGTGGACATTAAAAAAAGATGCCAAACAAGGTCATTTAAAAAGCAAAGTGAGTCTTTAGCCCTTTTATTTCTGAAGAGAACTTTTACATGTCGACTCTCTGACATTTGCCACAGTGATTTTTCTGAACTAAATCAGGAAAATCACATGTTCTCACTGTCCCCTGGCATTCTCGCCAGTGATGCTTTTGCCTAGAACCCCTGACTCAATGACAGCTTGGAATCATCTTCATTTTCTGTGCACGCTCCTCAGATATTAGCTCAGAGCTAAAGTGGATGTGGCAGCTGTGGCAACAAGTGGAATTTAATACTCTTCCTGTAGTATTGGAACCAACGCCACTCCCTTCCCTTCATTCCTCCCAATTAAGCCCCACTGTGGCAGATATTTTCTGTAGGTATTTCTGGTTGCTGATAAGACTCCAGGAAATCATCTCCACTTGGTGCAATATCTTGTAGGGAGATGGTGGCACCAGGCCTCATCCTATTAGCAGCTGTCTGTTCTCAATGGCAGCAGAGTGCATCAAGTGCTATAATCTCTGAATAAGCACGTCAGCTGAATGCATTTCAGTGAGTTCATCTTCAAAGCTATTCATGGCTTTGGCCACAGTTTCCAATAGAAACAATAGGATCGATTTAAAGATTTTATGACGGGATTGCAATTACAATGAGTGTCTGGTGAAATAATAACTGTTTTTCAATGAAAGACAGCTTTCAACTCTGCTCCCTCTCAGCCATCTGCTGATAACATGCTTTCTGAGTCACAACAAACATCCAGGGGGCAAAACATAGAAGCTAATGAAGTTTCCCCCATAGTTATTCTTGTAAATATTGCACCAACCCTTCAGAAACGCAGCAGGCTAGATGGCCGGCTGTGCTGAGCTTACACACACAGCAGCTGAGGAGCAGGGAGAAGATGGCTCCAGGATTATGAGCTGCTCTAATTTTCGACCGCTGGAATAGTTACATAAGAGCTGCTCCATGTGCCAAAGATTGGCTGGAGCAGTGTGTTTCTGGCTCCACCCCTTTTTTTATCCCACACCATCCCAACAGACCTCCAAAGTCCATGGGTGGGAAGGGGGTGTCATGCAGGGGAAATCCTCAGCTGTCCATATGAGACAGCTTTATGTCCCCTTTGCCCTTATTTGGGTTGAGTGAAGAATCTTCTTTTCCAGAGAAGAGTTTTGTTTGTTTAAATAGTGTATGACCTTCTTCAATTTGGAGCAAAGCAGCAAGATGTAATTAACTGATAAATACATTTGTGGTATTAAAGAGATACATAGACAGGGCCAGATTAACTCGGTCTCGCACAAGTGCATGGGGCAGAGAAGACAAGGAATAGATCAGGTGCACCACCATGTACTCACCAGGAAACCCAGGGAAAGATTTTGCTCCTTCAGGCACAATCCCTCCTTGAACTTCACCTGCGATGTTGTTGATCTGTACCTTCCGCATGGCACCATCGAGGCCGTCAGTGGGCCAGCTACACCGAGATACTCAGAAACATGCTCACCTGTGTTGGAAAGAGCCTTCTAGCTGGTACCATATACCCTTTTCCAACTATTTCTTATGGAAGATAAATAACTTACTGCTGAGATAAATAACTTACTTAGAGTTGGAAGCCAGAATTCAAACACTCTTATATTACAGATACCTTCAAAATGGAGAACTTTAAAAAGAAGGTACATTGTAATTTCAAAATATTCCAGACCCAGCATTACCGGCAGTGAATGAAGTCGGGAACAGGGTTGTGCTGGCTAAATGACGCTGCATCAAGGTTCATGCAAATTTCCACATTGTCCCCAGCCATGATTCGCACAGCAGCCTTATTTTCATCCTCAAACATTTGTCTTTGTAAGGATGCACAGAGCAGCAACATGAAATCGTCTGGAAAAATGAAGATATCACCATGAGAACTTCACCCATTAACTCAGATCTATTGAATGCTATTGGTGATATGCTACAATCTAATCACGGCACAGTAGTTCTTACAATGATCCCCTAAGATTGCATTATCTACAATGCACTGTAATACAAATTTGACATTTGTTACTACTTTTCATTTTCACCTGATTATTTCACGTCCATGATTTTTTTCTGAGAAGGAGATTAAAAGGAGGAAACAGAATTCATCACTTTTTATCCAGCTTTATTAAACAAAAATGTACCAGTTGCATAAATTACTGAACATTTAAATGCACTGATTTTATAAAAACACAATTACTGTTCAATGTATTGTGTTGGTATATTGCCTAGTGCAATGGGGTCCTGGTCCATGAACAGGGCCTCTAGGTGCTACGGTAAGAAATATAATAATAATGCCCTGTAGAATATGCCAAGTTGCTTCTTCAAAACAAATAAAAGCTTTGTATTATACTTTTGCATAATTTGAAACCAAAGAAAAGTAAACAACTTTCACAGCTCTGTGCTAAAACACTTACAGACGAGAAATATAGGATTTGGTCTTTCAATGAAGTCTGGAAAGTATAACCACTTTATGATGTTGGAGTTGAAGTTGGCATTAGGGCTCCTCCATGGATAGTCTACAATAAAAGGAAGCATGCAAAAATGTAATCAATAGTTTATAACAATTATTTCATTTTTTTTAAAGTATCTGTCAATTTTCCAGCAGTTTCCTGTAAGAGCAAATGGCCATAAAAGGTAAGTGACCCTACCTTTACAAGGAGCAGGTGGAATGCCAATACAAATGAAGTACTGGAATATAATGGTGCATGCCAGAAAACAGCAGTACTTTGGCCAGATCTCTGCAATAGCTTTTCTTCTACGTCGATATAATACAGCAATTAACCAGAAGGCATGAATCATGGCAAAGAAATCCATTCGTTGACCAATTACATTAACTGACAGTAGGAAACAGGTCTGTGGAAGAAGTAAAGAAACATATCCAGCATTTACAACCCCTGAGATGATCAGGGCAGATATAATAAATTAACCTTTCAATCTGATTCTTGGAAACTTGATGTATCTGAGTGTAGCTCTTCACATACTAAGCCTCGGACATGGTTAATAGTCCTCCAGCCCCCCACACTTTGTGTAATTTTTTATCAACACTGACTATCTCAATACAACTGTAAAGCAAGTTTCCATTTCATGCTACTAAAAAGATATAAAATGGCCAGAACATTGTCATGGATAGCCTAGATTGGAAATGCTTAATTGTTGCCAAGCAAAGCATGTTACATAGACATATATTTTGATACTACTAACAGATGTTAAAAGAATGAACTCATAAAGAAAAATAATAACTGGAGGGCATCCTCAGGTGGGAACCACATAAAAAGAATAAGCATTCAGACAATGTAACTTTTGTTTACTATAGACAAACAGCTCAATTGTTCTGAAGTGGTTTATTTCACCGTTATTTTTGAAGCTCTTTTTCCCAGGGTAGTTTCTACTCCCTGGTTGCACTTAAAACAGTGCCTTTAGGCGATGCTATGATTCAACACTTTGTTTTAGAACTCAGTGAATAATTCATAGTGAATCATTTAGTCAATGAATTTCATCATTTCTCTCTCCAGGAACTGCTCACAAACGGCGATGGTCTCAATTTTTGTGGCTAACTAATTTTGGTGGATTGCTCCCAAGGACTGCTTGTTAACCATTCATTACATTGACTATTTGGAATTTGAGAGAGATGTCGGTTAGTTCTGATTAGACTCATAGGCATACAGTAACTTATAATTGGGTTTCCACTGCAAATATTTATGCACATGAGCTGAAAACTTGCTTTCTGCAGGTATTCTCTAACGTTTGCTTAAAACTTGCCTTTTACACAAACATTCTTGCCACTACACTAATTTTCTTAATTTGACTATCCATGAAAATTGAACACAAAAGGTGTGTGAACGTAGCTGAAGCAAATTCACTGTTCTAGTCAAGCAAATACTTATAAGTGTTTTATGAGGTATTTACTCAGCATTACTTTATTTTCAAGATGGATTAAATTTTCGTTTTGTCTGTATGAGTTGGTGCCAGGCTAGGAGGGGAGGGAGGGCAGAGGGAAGGTGGGAGCTAGACAGAGATGCAGGTCAAACAAGAGATACAGAAGGAGCAAGGAGAGTTGTCTAACCCCAAATCCGCCCTACCACTTTGCCCATGCTGCTGCTAGCAAAGCAGAGCAACATCATCCATGGAATACAGCATTGGCCTGGGACTCAGGAGTTCAGGTTCTACTTCTAGATCTGCCCCTGACCTGCCACATGACCTTGGGAAAATCACTTCTCCTGTCTGTAGCTATCCCTGCCCACACTTTGTCTATCTTGTCTATTTAAGTAGTAAGCTCTTGAAGCCAAGAAGCACAGTGGGGGACCAAGCTTCTTGGATCTACCATAATATAAATACTACTAAAATAAAGAGTGACTTCTTTCTTTTCCCAGCTCCTGCAACAGTCCTGAGTGCAGCAGATGCAAGTGCAGCTAATAGGTACTTAGCCATAGACGGTAGCCTGCCAGCTGCAGCTTTTCTTCTCTGCTCCCATGGTACTCAACTCAATTGTAGGTGACATCAGTGGATGCCCCTTGCCAATCCCTCCCTGAATAGCACACAGCCTTCCCTTTTGGTGAATTAGAAACAGAGCACAGGAATGAGAAACAAGTATATTGAAAAGAAAAGAGGCAAACAAGAGAAAAAGCATCGGGTGGGGAAGATGGAGAGGGGGAAGAGATGATGGTAACTGTGTCTAGACAACCCTGGCCCCGGTGAGAGTAGCGGATGAGGAAGCAGCAGGTTGTCAGTACATCTCTAACCAACAAAACAAAACAACCAACAAAACAAAACAACACAAGGTTGGGAATCATTGTCTTAACCACATGAATATGTTATTTACCTCCAACCCAAACTTGTAGAAGAAGTAGTTTATGAAATACTTGGCACAGTTTACAAGTCCATCATCCAAATGTAATCTTGTAATGTCATGGAAAATGGTTTTAGTCACAGGCGCAGTAAGATTATTTCGACATCTGTAGTACTCCTGATGCCGGTAAATTGTAACTTCAAAGGCCAGAATAGCCAGCATTAGTAAGTTATTCTACAAAAGAAGCAATACAAAGAAGATAAAAACAAAACTGAAATATGAGGAGTTGGAAATTTTTTCTGAGAAGCATAATCAATGAATATTCTAGTGGATATTATTGTTTAATATTGCTGCAATACCAAAATGTTCTGGGATTTAATTTCAAAATGGGAAGCTTACTTGAGCAGTAAAATGCACCAAGGGTTTACCAATCCCCCAATTTCTGCTCCTCCCTCCGGAGGGGGTAGAGAGACCTCACTGCAGGTGTCATGACAACTAAGACTGATTCATACTCTAATATCTGCAATGCCACTGACTTCTGTTCTCAACAGCAAAACAATGGAAGGGCTTGATAGAGTCCTTTTGCTGTTGTTTTCATAACCCTATTTTACATGGGCTGTTCATTTTGCCTCTGTTGGTGCAAGAGGGAACAGCAGCACTATTAAGCACTGTCAGACAGCTCTTTTATGTGATAAAAGACCAGAAACTGTGCATCTGTCCCATATTTTGGCCTTATCTTGCTGGAATCACATGAAGAAAAGAAGCAGAGAACCTGAACTGGGCTGGGTCGGCACGGAGAAAGTTACCCTCGAGAGAAGGGTGTAGTTCTAACTTCAACAAATCTGATCACTGTGCTCAGAATGAACGGAAATCTGAAGGCCAATGAAGGTACCATACAGGTAGGTGAAGTAACTCACTGATTTTTTTTTTTAATTCAGGATGAGTCACAAATGATAATTAAACATGTGATATAATCTAAATTTGCAGTGACTCAACCATGGTTTTTTTCAGCCATTTTCCACGCAGAGCACTTTATCCTAAACAGGGCCGGCTCCAGGCACCAGTCCAGCAAGCAGGTGCTTGGGGCGGCCGAGGGGAAGGGGCGGCACGTCAGGCTGTTCAGCAGCAATTCGACGGCGGGTCCCTCTCGGAGGGAAGCACCTGCCGCTGAATTCCTGCCGAAGAAGAAAGCGGCGCAGTGGAGCTGCCGCTGGATTGCCGCCGATCGCGATTGCGGCTTTTTTTTTTTTTTCTCTTCTTGGGGGGGGCAAAAACCCTGGAGCTGGTCCTGATCCTAAATCATAAGTAAAGGACTTCAGAGACTCTCTAATCCTATGGGAGTCATGCAGGATAGTTTTACTCTGTCAGCGCCCGAAGGCTAAGAAATGTTTAATTCAAATGAAAGTAACAAAACACACCCTGCCTGCATTAAACAAAACAAAAACTAGAATAAAGACATAGGATTATTGCTGTTTCCCCTCCCCCCACTCTTACCTCCCCCCAAAAAACCCAACATTTTTTCCAAGTTGTTTCTTAGGGATAAAAGTTTTAAAAAATAATTGCAGGTGAAATGTGCTGTCAGTCAGAGACAATTATCCAGATCAAACATTTATCTTAGATCTTATAATATCTGAAATGGATGTATGTTGTTACTTCTTACAAATCTTGTCAGTCAAATTTCTTGATATCCTTTTAATCCATAGAAGAGCAAGCGAGCTATGGTTCTATGTGCATCTTATCTGAATTGTTGCATGGAATTTTCTTGAGTTAGGGCTGTAGGAATCATGTATAACAGGACACTTGCCCCCTACCCGTACACCACATTTTTTTTCTCCATTGCCTATAGCTCACAATTCATGGAATGATGTATTTTGTGTGTGGCACATGATCCATTTCAAGGACATTGAAAAGTTCATCAGGAGTAAGAGACAGTCGGTCTAAACACAGAAAAATGTAGAGCAGTTACCCTTAAGTATACAAGCAGGGGATAAGACTTCCTTAATCCAACCCACTCTGTAGGATCGATGGGTGCGCTGTAGAGAAGCGACGTCTTCAGTTCGTCACTGCCTATGTCAGTTTCATTTTCTGTAGGCTAAAACGCAAACAATGATAAGTTCTTTAGTTAGAGTCTCTTTGGAGCCACTGGGGGCAGGAATCATGATGGCTCAGCAGAAACACATCAGCTGAACCGCAGCTTTGAACACTTCACATGCTTCCTTTGGCTCTGTCCTTTCACTGACGTACCTAGCAATTAAACTCTTAATATGCACTACTACTCACCATTGTACAGTTACTGGAAAAGGTGCTAGGGTCAATAGATGTGAGCTGATATAACATTTTGCAGACGATAATCACACATGTCCAAACAGTGCAGACACTTGATGCCAATGGGCGGAATTGAGCATATGGCAAAGCAAGAGCCCAGGCAATCAAAAACACAAAGTTAAACAGAGACACCTGAAAACACAAAACAGAAATTACACAGAGCAGCCAGATGACCAGGCACCTTAATGTGACCTTTTATACCTAGAATACCTCACACACAAACACGTCATTGAAAAATCCTTCAAAACAAAGGGCCAAAAACAAGATCTAAGAAAAGTAATGAAATCAAAATTTAAAACAGCTCTCAATGTGATGCTAGACATGGATGTCACTGAAACTCAACAGCAGTTAGTGGCTGGCAGGAAACGTAGCAATCAATTAGGTTGGAAACAATTCTAACTTCAAAATACTATTAGCACCACTAGCCCACACAGTGGCATGCCCATTCTACAAGTATGGTTTTAAATAAAAAGGGCCAAACCCGTGGCCCTGCTTTTTTGCAGCAACAAAGTGTACACATTGGCCTGTTGGGGGTGGTAGAAAGGCTGATTTTTGTGGTAGGGGACTCACACAAATTATTTTCTATGCACACCAGAGTTCTTCCTCTCATCTGAAGGGGCTGCTGGTGGGAGGGAGAAAGACAGAGGGAGTATGACTTTGGCTTCCCAAAAAATGTAACAAAAACCCTAGTATCTTCATTGGTGGAGAGGACTGGAGGTTTGCTGAGTGAGAGGGGTCCCCATTCCCAACTGATGACTTTAAGTGAAGATGGGCCTTTAGGGTTTGATTAGGCACCAGCATCTAGAGAGCCCAGCTGGACCATGGACCCCCAGTTAAGCCTGCACCCAAGAAGTAGGTTGGAATGAGGTTTGGCCCAAGGGTTGGATACACTGCTGTGGAGCCAAGAAGCATCAACAGAAGGATGAGATTTTGTCAGCACAGGTTTTACTTGCCTCTTTCACTGTGACCCAGATGATGTATGAAGAAACTATTTTGATAATATGCAGCTCCAAAAGCCACCACACAAAAACTTGCAGTTTATGAAAATATTCCAGGAATTTCAAGAATAGCACCGTGAGGCGGTCGATCACCAGATGCCACTTATTCTTTAAATCTATAAATAAATATAAATATAAATATATGGAGATATACCTATCTCACTGAACTGAAAGGGACCCCAAAAGATCATTGAGTCCAGCCCCTGCCTTCACTAGCAGGACCAAGTACTGATTTTGCCCTAGATCCCTTAGTGGCCCCCTCAAGGGTTGAGCTCACAACCCTGGGTTTAGCAGGCCAATGCTCAAACAACTGAGCTATCCCTCCCCCCTGCAAAATCTACAAAGACAAACCCGATGGAGTCACTGAAAAACTGTCTTTACCTTTGTTACTTCCCTCTTCAAAAGAAAATAGTAAGACAGGATTTTTTCCGCTCAGCCCCAAAACAAGAGACATTAAGGTGAGTAAAATCAGCTCCGACTTTCAATGGTGGATTAAGACTAAATGGGGCTCACCCCAAGAACAAATCAAAGGCTACCCACTACAAAAGTACTTGTGGCACTGACTGTGCATCCATTGGCCCCTGCAGACCCAGGGCCTGGATCTGTGAATCCATGGATCCCTGCCTTAATCCACCCATTGTTCCTGTAGAACTAAAACAGTTTAGTTTGATTATATTTAGTGCATATGGTCCTAGTTTGTAAACATGAAAGTAATTCACAGAGGATATTTCTCCCTAGCAAACCTTTATGTCAGCTTTGAGCAGAATCACATTCCAACCCTGAAAATTATATTGCTGAGAGTGACAATGTGGAAATGGAAAAGACTGCCTGATGCTAGCATATGGCTTTCTAAAAGCTGAATATGCCACTGAGATGGTTAAAAACATGTTCACAAGTCTCACAAATGTTTACATAGTCCTCTGGGAAGAGCAATACACTGTAATTGAGCTTTCTGAAGAATTTTGCAGAGTCTCCAAACCGTCCCTGCAGAGTTTTGCTTGAAATACAACTTTTAGTTACCTTCATTGTACACTTAGCATTAGTACTGCTCTGTTTCATACTCATAACACACTACATCATAGAATACTGTATTTTGCTAATCAATAAATGAAGGACTTGATAAACACAGAGGTAGCATCACAAATGTACTTTGCTCATTTATTTTGACAAATGTAATTTGCAGGGAGGAGCCAGTCACAGACGTAAGCCAGCAGGAGCAGTTTAAGCAGGTAGTGTGGCACCCAGGAAAAGGAAGGAGAAAGATGGGGCCTGTCAGAGGTAAGCTTCCGGTGCTCCTGAGGCCCACCATTATGTGGAAATGACCCCCACTTGGGCACCATTACGTTCCATATCCTTGGGGAAGAAAGGAAAAAATTGAAGGGAGGAGCCAGACAGAGACGGAAGGTGGCAGAAGCAGCTAAAACAGGGCCTGTCAGACAGCAATAATGTCACCACAAGGCTGTCCACAGTTTTCACTCTGAACATTCTCTGCCCTGTACTGTTTGGCCGTTTGCTCCTACCCCTCCCTGTCTCCTTCCTTAGTCTCTTCACTTTGACTTCACTCCACCTGCTCTCCAGGCTGCTCTCCCCTTCCTTCCTTCCTTCCTTCTTCATTGCTCTGTTCCCCATACAGTTCCCCCTCCCTTCAATGTCCCCTCTCCTTTCCTTTATTTTTTCCAGGTAGCAAATACTCTCCTAACTAAACCTCACGCAAAGGAGTTTAATTCCAAAACAACAACAAAACAAAAAAATTGAAAAAAAAAATTCATGGCACTAACATGATGTTTGCCAACCATCATTCTGTTCTCTCTGCCTGTGTGTTCTACAAGGATTCTCTCTCATTCTATGTTTGCACAGTGCCTCGCGAGTTAGTCTCTAGGCACTAGCGTAATTCATAGATTCCAAGACCAGAAGGGACCACTGTGATCATCTTGTCAGACCACTCGTATAACAAAAGCCATAGAACTTTCCAAAATAATTCCTAGAGCAGATCGTTTAGCAAAACATCCAATCTTGATTAAAAAAATTATCAGCAATGGAGAATCTACCACAACCCTTGGTAAGTTGTTCCAATGGTTAAGTGCCCTCACCATTAAAAAATTATGCCTTATTTCCAGTCTGAAATTTGTTTACTTACTACTTCCAGCCATTGGATCCCATTATATCTTTCTCCTCTTGGCTGAAGAGCCCATTATTAAATATTTGTTCCTTCATGTAGATTACAGACTGTAATCAAATTACCCCTTACTCTTCTATTTGTTAAGCTAAATAGACTGAGTTATTTGAATCTATCACTGTAAGGCATGTTTCCTAATCTTTCAACCATTCTTATGGCTCTTCTCTGAACCTTCTCCAATTTATTAACATCCTTCTTGAACTGTGAGCACTAGAACTGGACAAAGTTTTTCAGCAGCAGTCACATCAGTGCCAAAAACAGAGGTAAAATAACCTCGCTACTCTTACTTGAGATTCCACTGTTTATGTAGCCAAGGATCACATTAACTCTTTTGGCCACACCATTACACTGCTTCCCAGGATAGAGAGTCCCTCATCCTGTAAGTATGGTCAACATTCTTTGTTCCTAGATGTATACATTTTGCTGAATTAAAATGCATATTGTTTGCTTGTACCCAGTTTACCAGTGATCTAGATCTGAATCAGAGACCTGTCTTCATTAATACTACTCCCCCGATTTTGGTGTCATCTGAAAACTTTATCAGTAATAATTGTATGTTTTCTTCCAAGTCATTGTTAAAAATGATAACTACCATAGGCCCAAGAACCAATTGGTGTGGGACTTCACTGAAAACATACCTGCTTGATGAAAATTCCCCATTTATCAGTTAGCCAGTTTTTAATCTATTTAATGTGTGCCATGTTAATATTATATCGTTCTAGTTTTTTTGATCAAAATGTCATGTGGTAACAAGTCAAAAACCATACAGAAGTCTACGTATATTATATCAACATTATTACCTTTATCAACCAAATTTGTAATGTCATCAAAAAAGATATAAAGTTAATTTGACAGGATCTATTTTCTATAAACCCATGTGGATTTGCATTAGTTACATTACTCTCCTTTATTTCTTTATTAACGGAGTCCCATATTAGCTGCTCCATTATCTTTCTAGGGTTCGAAGTCAGCCTGATAGGCATATAATTACCTGGATCATCCCATTTACCCTTTTTAAAAATTGGCACAACATTAGCATTCTTCCAATCTTCTAGAACTTACTGAAAATCAGCATTAAATATCCAGTGAGCTCTTCAGCCAGCTCTTTGAAAATTCTTGGATGCAAGTTATCTGGTAATACTAGTAATAATTTAGTTTTAATTAACTGTAATAATACATTATAAGGTACCAATATATGTAGTATATATGTATTATAAAAACAATATAGTCTTAGGACCTGATCCTGCAAATTGACCCATATGCCCATGCAGGGCTGGCTTTAGCAGGTGCGGGGCCTCTCGCCGGGACACGAATTGTCTTGGGCCCCCCCAACCCCAACTCCGCCCCGGCCCCGCCCCGACTCCGCCCCCTCCCTGCCACATTGGATCCCTCCCCAAATCCCTGCCTGGCCCCGCGTCTTCCCCAAGCACGCCACATTCTTCCTCCTCCCCCCTCCCTCCCAGGCTTACGCTGATCAGCTGTATGGCGGCGCAAGCGCTGGAGGGAGGGGGGAGAAGCAGGACGCAGCTTTTTTTTTTTTTTTCCCGCTCTGTCGGCAGCCCCAGATGTTGCGGGGCCCTCTTAGGCGCGGGGCCGCATTCCGAGGAATCAGCTTAAAGCCGGCCCTGTGCCCGTGTCACTGAAGTCAATGGACTCCATCTTGGAAAAGGGTCTGCCAGCCAGATCACTTTGCAGGATCAAGCATTAGTAATCTGAGACTTCACTAGCTCACAATGCTATTTGATGAGAAGTAGAGTGAGACCACTTTTTTAAAATGAGAATTATTAAGTCTGAAGATTGGGTTAGTAAAATGTAGATGAATGAGGACCAAACGTTAAGTAAGAATGGTTGCACAGTTAGTACTGGAGATGGAAACATGAAAAATTGGATGTGGCTACCTACATTGGCCAAAGATGCAGAGGAATTTCAGGGCTCCTTAGACAATGATGTCAAGTTTTCTGATCTTTATTTTTATTTAAAAAGAAAAAGAGCTGTCTATTGAGTGCTTATTTTGTGTGAAATTCTGCCTTTTTGGATGTCTGGCCACATAATGCCAGATTATTGATTTTGTTTTCTTCTTTTTTCCTTAAAAATCTCCTTTGCAAGTATGTTTCTATATGCATTAAGATGGTCTTTAATGACATGATCACTTACTATTTCTCAAAGAATAAATGTTATATTAAGCCTTTTTTTTTTAACCATACTGGAAAACAACACTTTGAAGGTGCCAGGTGAATGAAGCAGGGCATGCAAATTACTGTCATGAGCTCTATCTGGCATACCCAGAATGATATATGGCACAAGATGCTACACATGTAAAAAAAAAATTAAATGGAATATTGTATTAGTCGAGAAATAGCATTTAATCATGCAACAAAGACTGTATGCATTACTCTGCTAAAATAACGCTGGCAATTCCAGACACTTGAGTGCTTAACAGTGCAATGTTATGATATAGCTTTTTGGCACGCGCACACACACACACACACACACACACACACACACACAATGTGTATGTAACTTAAAAGTACCTCACATCCAGTCACAGATATTTTGTGTGCTTCTGCCAAGATCCATTCAGCGCAGCACAGAGCGGGGGCCTCCAGGGAGTCAGTTACTGCTCCCTGATTCTTGGCTCTGCCCCAATGTAGGTTAACTTTCAACAGCTGGCCAGTGTTCCCAAGGGAACTTCCACCAGCTGGGGATAAACCAGAGTGCAGCATATTCCAATCACGCTCTTGCCTGCACAGAAAGAGCCCAGGAGCTGGGTATGTCAGGGCTACACCCAGCGTGGAGTCCTCTATGCAGATGGAATCCCCCAGCCAGGGAAATATGAGTGGTTTCTGATCCCCTGGTGCTGCATGAACTAAGTGTAGGCTTCTTAGAGCATATAAACTGGCATTTTTCTTTGAGCAGGTCTCATTGAAAGTCTCTATTTCTGTTCCAGAGCCCTACATATAATGGTAACAGTAGTTGCCCAAATTAATGTAAGGCAATTTCCAGACAATCTGATTTTCCTCTGTTCTAAACACTCTTCCCTCAGTTTCCTGTCTCTGACGTGTTATTTCTCTTGCTAATCTAAGTCATGCAGGGTTCATGTTCATAACTGTATTACAGAAATTATTTAGGTCTTAGCCAAGGATATCCAGGATAACAGCCTCACCCACCACCACATTTCGGCATTTTTATATTCATTTAGAATCAGTTAGCTATTCCTCATTCAAAATTGCAAAATGTGACACTAAAGCTGTTCATGAACAATGAAGCAGAGAACTTACTGAAATGAATAACCTTAAAAGCATACAATAGAAAAGAAAAAAAAAAAGCATGATTTCGTCAAGAATTCACATGGAAGGAGCTTTCCATGAGCTTCAGGAATCTCCTCATCCATCACTGGCTTTGTAAAGGGCTTTCCTCTAGTAGAAGCCGGAGGTTTTTTTTCATTTTGTAAGCATACTGTAGGTAACAGTAGCTGTTCTCATCCTAAGAGACCGGAGCATGTTGAATAATTAACAAGGACCCATCTGCTCAATCCAGACTATTTGGCAAAGACTCTAGCCAAAATTAAAAGGAAAACATAATGTTATCTAATGTAAGATGAGCTCGTCAAGGATGAACCACCTACAACTGAAGTTAAATAAAGTTAGCAAGGGGCAACATTACAGCCTCAAAGCCTACCGGAAGTTTCTTCTACATCAGATTCATCATCATCCTCTTCCTCATCTTCCTCTTCCTCCTCCTCCTCCTTCTCTTTTTCATCCCCATCTTTCTCTCCCTCCCCATCTCTCTCTTCCATTCTTTCATCACCATGCTCTTCCAGATTTTTATCCTCTTCCTTTTCATTGCTGGCAGTTAAATTCAGCATGGTTATGTCAGGCAGACTTCCATCTTGGTGCACCAGTCTGTTGGTAAATAATGAGGTGTCAGCAAACTGAGCCATATTGGTATCAAGAACGATTTTTTTCAAGCAGTATAATTTTAAAAAATAAACAATGCACGTATGAATGCCATTGAACTGGAAATGCTAATGATTCTGGTACTTTCTGCAAACAAACACTGCAAACTGAGTCCGAATGTAGTAGTAATTATTTGTCACTCGGATGCTAGTGATTAGTTAGTAATGAGTGGTTTTGACACCTAAACTTGACATTTTCCCCAATGGAGAAAATGGTCAGAGTTTAAGATGTAGAAGCATGAAATGACACTGTGAGAGAGCGAGCATTTCATTACTTCATGGGGGACTTACTCATTGTGGTGGTTTGGTATTTTTTTCTTGAGGCTGCTCAAAGTAATTGAAACAGAAAGAAAAAGGGAAATGAGAACAGGGGTTATAAAAGAAGATCAGAGATAATAAATACATCATGCTACATAACAACCGCTACAGCATTCTCCTACTCCATCCGCAGCAGCCTTCTAACGTCAAGAGCATGCATCATGGCATTAACAGGGCACTTCTACTAAGAATCACAAAATCAGAGCAAAATGGAAAGTGTGCCATATAATTATGCTAAAACTAATTGCTAAAAAGTATGTGTATTCTCCCATGCTTTTAGTAATGCAACTGAATTGTCACAGGTAAGCTATACAATTCATATTTTGAATACATTTTCAACTTTTTGACATGGAAAGATGCAACTGGGTAGCAAAGAAACATGTTAGTTTCAAAGGTTGTTTTTTTTCCCCAACTGCAGATTCATAAACAGTATAGCAAAAATTCCAAGGTCACTGCTTCAATAGATCTGATATCATCTAATTTGGGGAAGGCCTACAGCCTCTCTCTTTTCTAAAACTTGCAGAGGTCATACCTCAAATCCTGAACCATGTCTGAATGAACCACTTAGCAAAGTCAAGAGTATAGAAAATAAGCTGAAATACACAGTTTGCAAATTATGTATTTTAACATAGAAATGATAGTAATGTTAAATCTTTTGAGAATTATTATGACATTTAAACTCTTCCTCTTCTATTATCTTTGCTTTTTTACAAAAGCGAAGACAAAATTAATAATCACTCATCTTCTATGATATAAAAAGTTTCAGCCCAATATGAAACTCACCAATTCATTTTGCTTTTCACATGTATTTACACAATATACAAATTGGAGACTGACTGCAACCAAAACCTTAAGATCCCAACACCTCTGAACTTTGTGGACATTCAGATCAGGGTCTGGATTGGCACTGCACTGCTAGCCCATCTCTCTCTAATGGATTCAAACCTGGATCCAAACTTCCCCAAACTCTGGGAAAATTTGTATATGGATCAGAATCATGTGGCTCAGATTCCTCTCTAACATAGACTCTTCTGACATTAACATATGACTCCCCTACTTTCTTACTGCCAGATCCTGCACACAACTCTAAGCATAGTGACACACACCTCTATCATGAATAGTTCCTTTTGAATGAGACTATTCCTGTAGCACTCCGTTTGGCAGTAAGGGTATGCAAGATCAGGTCCCTAACCATTTAGCTACAGTAATAAATATAATATAATCAGAATGTTATAAAACATCTACTGTGTTTTTTTTATTCAGGTAACTAATTTTAATAGGCTAAAGTATTATTTCTTTTTTTACAATATGAAGTGTTAGCATATTATTCAATTTTATTAATTTTAGACAACAGTCCCTGAAACTTTTAACTAGCATATTAGAAAATTGAAAATCTAGAAATACCTATTTACTCTGTACAATGTATTTCAAAACGTTGCTTATAAAACATGAAGAGCACAGCATGAACTGTCAATGCAATAGTTAAACAAGCAAAAGCATCTTTCAAATAATTGGGACTTGCAATTTCTTCAAGTTGCAAGTTCAAGTAGCTTAAATAAGGGAAAGGTTACAGAAATCTGGCTAATTGATCCTCAAGCAGTAAATTAATTGCATGCTAATTATTGAAAGACAGAAAAGGCACAGTGCATAATATTGCTTTAATACAATGGTCAGTCCCAAACATATATAATCTTACAAAGTATACCTATGAAAATGATTACTAAGAAAAACACCATTTGACTAAATCCTTAACTTTCAGTAGACGCCTCACCAAGATATTTTATTTCAGAAATAAGCAAGAGTATGAATAGATATTAAGGGTGCTTGCTCCCAGCTGCAGCATAGATATACCCATATAGGCCCCAATTCAGCAAGGTATTTAAGCATGGCTAAACTTTAGGTGCCTGAATAGTCCCCCAGACTACTAAGATCAATGGTACTACTCAGGCGCCTAAAGTTAGGTATATGCTCAAATACCTTGCTGAATCAGGGCCACATTTAACTACATTTAATATATTTACTAGAGCTGAGTGAATAATTAATAGTGAATAACGCGTTTGCCACATCTATGCCTCTTAGGTTCTTTGTGAATTTTCTGCCAACAATTTATGGGTTTTTTTTAATTCACTTGTTCAGAATCATTTGCCAAATAATTTGTTAATAATGCTTGGTCTGTATAATATTCCTGAGTATTCAATATCCAAGATTAAGCTGTTAGTTTTGAATGGGGACACAGCTCACATGGCATTTTTTCTGTTCTCTGACTGAATGGGTGTTACTGGCGTGGATGCTCAAGTTTACAAGTTCAGCATTTATTTTCTGTGGATAATGCCTAATACTTACTTAAAATGTGCTATTTCTGTGACCATTCCTGCCAGCAAACTCATTCACTACAGCTGGGATTTTTAAAGGCACCTAAGGGATTCAGATGCCCAAGACCCATTCGCCTTTGAGAACCGCAGCCTAAAATATTGACTGCAAATGCACACAAAAAGGACATAAGCTCAGGATAAGAACATTAATTTTTCATTTGAGCAAATATTTACAGAAAACTTGTTGAGGTATTTGCCCAGTTTTTGTGCTTACGTTCAGGAGTAACAAAAAAACGACCCCACTCTTATTCTTACCCTAATTTTAAAAAAACCTATCCTTGAAAAACTGAAAGGAATCTTGCTTATGGAAATATTTTAAAAAGCTAATTTTATGAAGGCATGAGGATAATATAAGTTTTGTGGTTTAGATCCTGTAGCACTTAACTCAGTACACAGCTTAACTGGTTTTAATGTCCTGAAATGTACAGGTGTTCTATTTTTGTCTACACGTCTATTACTTTGTATACAAGAAAGCTGACCCGAAGGCACAGACTTTCATTTTTCTTCAGAAAAATACTTGTTGTGCATATTTCTTTGACTCTCAAATGCATTATCGAAAGTACATCTGAGGTAAGTAGGCGTGTGGATATGGATATGTGTACATGCATACACATACAAAGCATAGCTATACCAGCCTCCTGAACTAACTTTGTTAACTGCAGCCAATTAGAAATAGTATTGTCTATGCCTTTATTGAGCTTGAATGACATTTAAGAGAAGAATCTGAGTTGGGGAGAGAATTCACAGCCTCTAAATCCATGTGGCAGATGTGTTAACCACTATAAACCATCTGGTGGGTTTAGAAGACTAAGAATTGTCTTCTTTGCTTATTTCACAGTACTGCACAGCATGAGTGATTTTTGTTTCTAGGAACTGAAGAACTAGCAAACAAATTAAAGTACATTTTTTAAGAAAAGGAAAGGAAACATTGAAGTATACCCACCTATTTATTATTAGATAAACACGACCATTGACTTTAGCATGGCTACGAGGTAAGAGATGAAGAGAGCACAAGAATGCATGCGATGGCAAAGGAGAAATGAGTTAAAGAGAGAAAAAAGGAAACTGTTAAACAGGAATGAATGTACTTTGTTACCTGTTACAGAGGCAAGCGTTGTCACAACGAGACACTAAGTCTAAACACTTATTACTAATCTTGCAGTGAAAAAGGCTAGAACCCTAAATGTACAATAGCATTACTAGATGGCAAGCAACTTCCACTAGAAGGACTGTAGATAAATCTCAGGGACCACAAAAATGTCAGAACAGGTTTTATTCTTTAGCTTGATCTCATATTTGTCACGTACAATATTTATTGCTTCTTTCGATGGACATATGTCTATTTAAGGTACTTATACAATCCCCTTAACTGTAGTATCTAAGCAACTCACAGTCTTTAATGTACTTATTTCCACAATAACCCTATGGGTTAGGAAAGTACCATTCTCTCCATTTTATAAATAAGAAATGTTGGCATAGAGAGATTAAGTAGCTTGCCCGAGGTCACAAAGATAGTCTTTGACAGAGCAGGGAATTTGGGAAACTGAATCCCAAATAAGCGCCGTAACCACTGGATCACCCTTCCTCTCACTTGACTATACTATTCAACAGCCCAATTCTGCCATCTTGAGACATATCCATGAGTTAATTCCATTATGCCAGGTTCTACCACCCTTCCTCCTGGTAGAAACTTCCTCTGACATTCATTGTGCCATCTTTACTCATGTTGAGTAGTACCTTACTCCACAAATAGTCCCAGTGATTTCAATAAATCTTAGTTTCAGACTAAGGCCTCAGTTCAGGAAAACATTCTTGTTCAGGACAGAATTTGATAATGGATTTAACTTTGAATGTGTTCCTAAATCCCATTGACTACCATGGGAATTAAAGCACATGTGCAAGTGTTTTCATGAACTAGGGCTTAAAATCTAATTAACATTTTCTCTATGAAAATAACTAAATCTCCAGTGTTGTCCACATACTGAAAATAAACGTTTGTCTTCCTGTAGCAATCAGTTGATACAACACAGATAAAATTAACAGAAGTAGAAAAAACAACCATAAATAGCAGGCAGAGTAAATGTGGAGCTATGTCACTAGATCTTTTAGAATGAAATGAATGAATGACTGCATGTTGCTTTGATGGCTTTATAAAAGCTAGACCTTGTTATTGTACATAACTACTTTTAATAGGTTTTCTGTATCATAACATCTTAATTTTCTGCACAACCAGGTTTTTACTGCTGACAGCACTGCCAGACCAGTATCGGTAGCTGTGGCAAATCAAGATGCATCTTATTCTGCTTCATGTACCATGAACAAAATTGATAGCTAAATTCTGGTTCCAGAATCCTTACAGGTAGTGTCAACTGACACCTGGCACTGACAACACACTGTGTCAAGTAGGAGGGAAACAGCTGGATTTTCAAATGTCAGGTTTTGTTTGTGTTAATTACTGTAGTAAAAAGGAGAAAACTTAGTTTGATTTGCAAATAGGACAGGCTTGCTGTGAAAGTCACTGATGAAGAACAAATATATGTGACAATTATGGGTTTCAAAATACTGTAAAAAAAAAAAAAAAAAAAAAAAAAGTCAATTTTAAAAAAAAATTTTAAAAAAAAAAAAAAAAAAAAAAAAAAAAAAAGTAAATGTTGTCACTTTTAGAAAACAGTTTTAAAAATCTTTAGCTCCTAATATAACAGTTGCTCACAATCCAGTCCCACAGCTTGATGTATGCCATAAAAACTGTGTTGTATTAGCATGGAACGAAAGATAATGTAACAATATTCTTTCTTTACCATTTTAATAAAACAAAGTCCTAAAATGGGGACTGTAACTACTAAATCGACTTCTACTATCAGTGTCCTTAGAGCCAGACCTAGAGCATAAGGATATTTTCATTAGCTTAAAATGAAAATCTACACACAGTCACCTTCCTGTTTAATTTTTTTATAATATTGTTACTTTCTAACTTTGATTGTTCTGCTTTCAATAAGACACTGGCAGCACTTAGTGTCGATTTGTACCACTGGCCCCTCACTTTGGGCAATGACATTGGTTTTCTTCATGTCAGCATTTGAAGATGGACAGTATTTTATATCCTCTGTCCCACATATGGGCAATGGCAACAATAACAGAGGATGCAAAGATAGCTCTTCTGCAGACAGAAATGTATGCTGTACATTTAGGTATAAACATATGTATACCAGATATCTGATCATGATTACCAGAGACATTCCTTTATTTCCTAAATTTCAAGCCATTAAAAAATTGGGCCAAATTCTCAGCTGGTGTAAATTGGTATTGCTCCATAATTCATTTATGGCACAATGCAGTCTTCCCAAGTTCATGACCATAAAAATGTCATCGTGTCACACATCACTGCATATTATATTTAGAATGTAAATGTTTTACTTCAAACTACCCTATCAAAATACAATCTAAAGCACTTCGCTCCTTCCCAAAAATAATAGTCAAATTGTAATATGCTTTTGTGCAGAAAAATCTGTAAGTGTATAACATTGAATATCTGAAAGTGGAGGGGCTGAGAGAATCACAATACTCTGTTATACATTTTGATGAGCTTGCTTAATAGTCTAGCGAGCTGGCACAGAATATAGGCCAAGATTTTCAGAGGTGACTAGTTATTTAATTTTTGAGTGCCTTATTTTTGAGGGCTCAGTTTGAGACACCTTAATAAAGGGGCCTGATTTTCACAGGGCAGATGCTCAGCGCTTTCTAAAATTCAGGCCTCTTGAATGTGTCTCAAGTTGGGCACTCAAATATTGGGTACTCAAAACAGTCACTTTGAAAATCTTCCCTATTATTGTCAGGATTCTTAAAAAGCACATGTGGCACTTAGGCACCTAATGCCCATTGAAAGTCAATGGGTGTTAGGTGTCATAAGTGTATTTTTGTGCTTTGAAAATCTACCCCAAAAGTCTAAACCTAAATATGTGTGTGTGCGTGTGTGTGTGTGTGGGGGGGACGAGTGGGGGGAGCTAATCAGGGGTCATAAAAAAAGCACATAACATTTCCTGCAAAGTAAATTGTTAGAGAACAGTAGAAAACAGTACTATCTTATGGACAACTAGTAGCTTTGTTTATTTTGCTTGTTTACCTGTAAATAGCGCTGTCCTGTTTGCTGGTTACAGCCTTTAAGTCAGTGAGCTGGAGGAAACGGTCATGGAAGTAATGAAGGTGTAATATACACACCAATAAGAAAGAGGTTGGAATAAAGATACGTGTGAACAGCTCAGCCACAGAAAACTGTTTTAAACCAAGATCCTCTAGTCTGAAAAATAAAACAAGTCACTAAGTCACCTGTTCAAAATGAATTTTGCAACATTTCTCCCATATCACATGAGATGGATAGTCACAAAACGATACAGTAAGTTTGTCTTTGCTATGTATCTTATCTTTTCATTTTTCTGAACAAAAGGTAAAAACAATGCAAATGTACAGTACCTTATCTTGCCACTTAACCCTTTAAAGGTATGAGACACACTAAATAAGCACTATTAAATAAATCACCACAGCCACAAAATTTGTAGATTAATTTCTTTCTTATATCAAATGTTTTCAGTATAGTATTTCAGAGCCAGCTTTTCCATCTCCAAGCCAACAACAAGGTTGTTACAATATTGTAGGCGATGGAAAGCAGTAAAAGAGGTTTGTTCTGCTTCTACAAAACAGTTTACTGGAATCCCATATAAGATGGCAGCTTTGGGATATATGTGCTGTTTCAAAAGATTTTGTTTTGGGTTTTCTGTTTTTATTTTTCATTTTTTGTTTTGTTTTTGTTACAGCCTTTAAGTCTATTTTTTAAGGTCGGGTTATGCTTTTGGGAGAATAATTAGCGAAAAGCAAAAAAGTTTTGCAGGACACCTCCACTAGTCCACCATGTAGTCAGAATTAGGGCTGGTCACAAATTAGGGCTGGTAGTCAGAAAGAGGTGGTCACCTAGGGCAACCAAATAGCAGGGACAGCAAAATGTTCAGTGACATTTTTGTATGGGTGACAGCAGAGTTGTAGGGGCAGATATTTGCTTGTGTGCATGGGGCAGCAGAACCCCCAAAGCCAGTCATGGTTGGAGAAGGTTTCCTGACATTTTTCCATTATAAGAAGGAAGAGGAGGAAGGAGGTCAAAGGGTGCAAAACATCACCATTTCTCTTGTGCCAAAATTAAAGGTTTGCAAATTGTTTACAAATATTGGTGAAAATCTCTGCTTTTTCACTATGAAAATCTGCAAAGCAAAATAGGGAGTTTCACACCAACCTAGGTAAAAAGTCTTTGTAACAGTATGAAAAAAAAAAAATCACTAGCCATCTGCTTGTGCACAATAAGCCCAAGTAAAATGAAAATACTCACTTTTTTTCATCTAGCCCTGTCATGTTCATCCACAAGCCAGGAAATGATTCAAATTGATATGTATAGATGAAGATAAGCACCAGCATAGTGTAAACAACCACTGACATCCAAAAATATTTTAGGATTCGCCTCCACCATTCATAGTGCACCTGGGAACCAGCCATTGAAGATGGTAAGGCAAACAGAACCAAAGCGGAAGAATCTACCAAACTATTTATATTGTTGTACAGGCAGAGGGCTATAAAATATAACCCTTCCCCCTAAACTAACACAATTATTTTATTCTTGACATTCTTGACATAACATCAACTCTCATTGATGCTTATCAGAGACATGTCCATGTATCAAAGGGAGAATCAGTCTTTGTAGTATCATAGTATTGTTTGTTTTGTGGTCTACAGCTAAGTAATGGAAAAGTGGCCATCATCAGCAATCAAACATGAAGTCATGTAGTTCTAATGTAAAGATCATTAGTATTCCTAAATTCAGTTACGGATGGTTACATTGGCCTGGCTAAAACAACCATGCTGAATCTTATTCCAAAATTCTAAACAAACCCCAACTTGATCCATTTTTAAGTTAACTTTTTTCATTTTTCCTCTCATGTTTACGTAATCTCTATTCTTCCAAGTTCCATCCAGGATCGGAAGGAAAAAAAGTCAGAAATCTCATGAAACAACCTGTTCTCATGAGTTACCCAGATCAATTCTGCAGACCCAAAAGGGTTTGAGTAGTTTATTATTCGTATTTTTTCCTAATTTATTTCTAGGGTGCCCATCACCATAGAATCTGGGTTCTCGTTCAGCCAAGCATTCATATGTTTGGGTGCTTATCCAAACTACAACTTTTAAAACTTTGCTTCTCTCTCCCATCAGCCAATCTAATGAGGTTTAATAGAATCGAAACTCTTCAAATGGTCTAAGCTGTTGGGAACTAGCAAAAGAAAAAATACACAGTGGATTAAATTATTAAATGTTGCTCTCTGTTACATTGATGCTAAGTCAAAGAGGACGCACCAGTGCAACCAAAGGAAGAATTTTGCTTAGTATTGCTCTCATTTACCTGGTACAGGGCCACACAGAAGAGGAAGAGCATCATATAGATGATTTTGTACATGACAATTCTACCCTCAAAGCTGACGAAGAAGAACATTCCTCCACAGACATAAATCCAGTACTTAATGAACATAGCCATCACCAAGTTTCCGAGGACTTTCATAATGTCCTGTTCATCCTCCTCATCTTCATCTGCTTCCTCTGTCACTTCCCCTTCTTGCAATTCCTCTTCTGCAAAGACACAAATCAAGTTGCATCGCCCCCAACCTATTTTTATTGGATCTTTCCTTGTAATTGTAAATGAGGTAAAGCATAAAAGCTTTATGCAGGACATGGAAGCTTATGCAGAAATTTAGCAAGGGTACAGTTAGACGCATGTCTGAATTGACTTTATAATCTCTGCTTCTGATTGAGGGAGAAGATTCACCAGAAGGCTCCAGAGAATATTGGCCATGCATTTCCTTCTAAAACACGTTATTTTCTCCTCCACAAGTTGACAGTAGTGTCTTCAAGACCACACTCTTAAACCTGGGTTCCTAGTTGGTAAATGTACTTACTTTTACACCCTTTCAAAAATCTGAGGGCCAGATTATCTGGTCCACTAAGGTCACGTTGTGCTGGGTAAGCAGCACAAAGTGTCTTTAAAACAGCTGGAGATAGCCAGTAGAGTATTCCCTCACATAGGTGAACTTTATGTCACCTTGTAAGTCACTAGCGCCCACCACCACCATAAGGGGAAAAGACTTTTCAGGGGCATTCTGGAAGGTGGGACGGGGCAGGAGAAGGCATGCTGTGACAGAGCTCCATGATCCTTCACTGGCATAAGGACTGTAGCTTAATTTGCTTGGACTTCCACTGGCAAAAAGGTAAGGAAGCCACACCAATTCCCTGTTATCATCGCTCCCCACTTTGCCCAAGCTGGACTCAGACATAGTGGAGAACCATGGCCTGAAGGCTATGTATTGGATCATAGTCAAAGCAATATCTACTGTAATGCCTGCATTTGTAGGCAAAAAACGTTAAACTGAAAGGAAAAAAACCAAAACTTATCACTGACATCCAGAGACATAAATTCCTAAGGGAATACTGTAGTTTTCACCAAAAACACAAACATTAGACAGCTTTGAAATTCAAAGCAGAGGTTCCTGTTTAAAACCAACCAACCAACCTTAAAAAACATATAGATTTGTGATACCAGGTGGGAGTTAAATGCCGCATTTCAAAAGAACGACTATCCCTCCCTCTTGCTCTACTGTGACCAAACCATGAAAAAAAAGGCAAGTTACTGCTGTCCCATTAATGGGAGCAGTAAGGAGAAAACCCTGTTCCTAGTCTTGCTACGCATGTTGGGTGTGAAGTGGGGGCCATCAAAAGGCTTCTGCACACATAAATAATGCCAGGGCTGGCAGTTTCACGGGGTGACTCATGGCTCTGACCATCACATCCCAGTCCTGATTCTGATCTGATTTAAATCAGTTTAAAACAAGAATAACTACACCACACTGAAACCTATAGGCCAAATTCTGCTCTTGGTTACACAGGTGCAGCTCCCATTGAAATCACTGATGGACGTTTTCCATATAGGCCCTTCTCCTTTTATGGTTAAATTTTGTGTACAGTGATTTTTTTCGGGGGGGGGGGGAGAGGGGGAGCACAAGTGTGGTGGTGGAAGTGCGTCTATGGAAGGTTTTTCCTGTATTTCCCATTCAAGTTATTTATTTTGTCATATCATTTACTGTAGTTCAACTGTAAAGAGAGTTTATATATTTTGTTTGATGTTATCAAGCTCAAAGCTATTTTATTATGTCCCCTGAGAAATTTGTAGTGCATGGATTTAGCAGCACATTGTTTAGCCCTTAGTCAATGACAGATGCAACTTTCCAAATACTTTAGCAATAAGAAAAGTAGTAACCCTAACCTCCTACATTGATTGGAGCAGTCAAACTTGATATACTTTTACCTTTTTCTTCATTTTCTTCATCTTCAACTTTGACCTCAGCTAAAGTAGCTTCTTTTAGCTGAAGCACTTTCCGCTCTGTGAGGTGTTGCCTAAGCAGTAGCCAGAAAGTAATTGTGAAAAGGATCTGCAAGCAAAAATCAAAACAAAAACAAGAGAGACAGACTAATTGTACATCCTAGATACTGCTAATGTTAACAGATATTTTGAAATTTTTTTCATGCCTTTGTTTTCCACTATTCAGCAAAATTGGCAACAATATAATCATTGCCAAAGAACACATTTCTGGAAGCTACGTCATCTAGGCAACCTATTCCATTAAAAGCAATTTTATTTTATTTCCAGTTGTCCTCCAGTTTGGGTAGGAAACTGACTTTTCATTCTGTAGCCTTTGTTAATAGGTTTCTCTTTTGATTCCTTGCGCTAGGAGAGTATAGTCTATTATTCCATAACAAGGGTACATAAATAAATAAATCTTTTTAACAAAGAGTGTACTTTTGTGTTTTGTATACTGCCAAATTCAACAAGTGTCAGTACTGAGAGCCAGCCAGAACACAGAAAACAGCGTGGCGCCTGTTTATCATGGGCTTGAGCCTATATCCACTGAAGTCAAAGCTCCCACGGATTTCAGTGGTTCAGGATCAAGCCTCATTTCATTACTTTATACAGAAAACAAGAATAAAATTTTAAATGAGACATACAAATAACCAAATATTTGGCACACTCTACTGTGGTGCTGCTGCTAACCAGGCTGATGATGTAATATAAAAAGCAGGGCTGTCGATTAATTGCCGTTAACTCACGCGATTAACTCAAAAAAATTAATTGCGATAAAAAAAATTAATCGCAATTAATCACACGGTTAAAAAATAGAATACCAATATTTTGGAGGTTTTCTACATTTTCATATATATATTGATTTAAATTACAACACAGAATACAAAGTGTACAGAGCTCACTTTATATTATTTTTATTACGAATATTTTCAATTCACCTCAGACAAGTACCGTAGTGCAATCTCTTTATCGTGAAAGTGCAACTTACAAAGGTAGATTTTTTTTGTTACATAACTGCACTCAAAAACAAAACAATGTAAAACTTTAGAGTCTACAAGTCCACTCAGTCCTACTTCTTGTGCAGCCACTCGCTAAGAGAAACAAGTTTGTTTACATTTACGGGAGATAATGCTGCCTGCTTCTTATTTACATCACCTGAAAGAGAGAACAGACGTTCGCATGGCACTTTTGTAGCCGGCATTGCAAGGTATTTATATGCCAGATATGCTAAACATTCGTATGCCCTTTCATGCTTTGGTCACCATTCCAGAGGACGTGCTTCCATGCTGATGATGCTCGTTAAAAAAATAATGAGTTAATTAAATTTGTGGCTGAACTCCTTGGGGGGAAATTGTATGTCTCCTGCTCTGTGTTTTACCTGCATTTCATGTTACAGCAGTCTCAGATGATGACCCAGCATGTTGTTCGTTTTAAGAACACTTTCACTGCAGATTTGACAAAATGCAAAAAAGATACCAATGTGAGATTTCTAAAGATAGCTACGACACTCGACCCATGATTTAAGAATCTGAAGTGCCTTCCAAAAATTTGAGAGGCACGAGGTGTGGAGCAGGCTTTCAGAAGTTGTAAAAGAGCAACACTCCGATGCAGAAACTATAGAACCCGAACCACCAAAAAAGAAAATGAACCTTCTGCTGGTGACATCTGACTCAGGCCTTGGCTACACTTGCAAGTTATAGTGCATTAAATCAGCCCCGGGCACCCTAACTCCTGAGGTGTCCACACTGGTAAGGCACTTAGAGCGGCTGGAGTCCGCGGCTGGAGTCCGCAGCTGGACTGCCCCTGGTAATCCACCTGCACGAGAAGCATAGAGCTTTCTTTGCCGCGACTGGAGTGCTGGGGTGTCATTGTGGACGAAGTGTTGCATTACGCGCTATGATTGGCCTCCGGAAACATCCCATAATCCCTTGAAGTCAAGTGGCCACTCTCGTCATTGTTTTGAACTCGGCTGCAGACATGCTTTCAAAGCTCCGTTTCTTGCAGCTGACATGCTTATCTGCTCCGGGACACAAAGCAAACCATCAATGTGGAATGCTCCTGTTGCAGGGGCAGGCGTTTGTGCATGTGTGTGAGAGAGAGGCAGGGGGCGGGGTATGATGTCGGGGTTTCCCCCTGCCGCTGTCTAAACTTACAAGACAGCACAAGACAGAATGCTAACATACTCTATGCCCCCCCCAACACATTGTCTCTCTCCCCTCACTTCACACAATACACTCCGTGTCGCACTCCACCCTCCACATTTGAAAAGCAGCTGGCAATCTAGTAGGATGCCTTGGAACAATGGGATTGGGAAACCTGCATCATGTGATGCTGTGCCTGCCCCATTAGGCATTGCAAATCCTTTCCAAAGCACGCTGCAGCCACTTGCACACTGGGATAGCTACCACAATGCACTGCTCTCTGGCATTGCAAGTGCTGCTAATGTGGCCACGCCACTGCACTTGCAGCTGATAGTGTGAACACATGGCAGCGCTTTCCCTGCTTCTGTCTCTGAGGGCTGGTTTAACTCCCGGTGCTCTACATCTGCAAGTGTAGCCATAGCCTTGGGTGATGAAAGTGAACATTGGCCTGCACTGCTTTGGATTGTTATCATCGGCATGGACGTATGTCCTCTGGAATGGTGGTTGAAGCATGAAGGGACATATAAATCTTTAGCGAATCAGGCATGTAAATATTTTGCGACGCTGGCTACAACAGTGCCATGCGAATGCCCGTTCTCACTTTCAGGTGACATTGTAAACAAGAAGGGGGCAGCATTATCTCCTGCAAATGTAAACAAACTTGTTTGTCTGAGCGATTGGCTGAACAAGAAGTAGGACTGAGTGGACTTGTAGTTTCTAAAGTTATACATTGTTTTATTTTTGAATGCAATTATTTTTTGTACATAACTGTAAATGTATAAGTTCTACTTGCATGGTAAAGAGATTGCACTACTGTACTTGTATTAAGTGAATTGAAAAATACTATTTCTTTTATTTTTACAGTGCAAATATTTATAACAAAAAATATAAAGTGAGCACTGTACACTTTGTATTCTATGTTGTAATTGAAATCAATATGTTTGAAAATGTGGAAAATATCCAAAAATATTTATATAAATGGAATTCTATTATTGTTTAACAGCGCGATTAATCGTGTGATTAATCACAATTAATTTTTTTAATCGCTTGACAGCCCTAATAAAAAGTGATTCTGCTTTTTCATCTAAACTGAAAACAACTGATAAGACAATGTCTTTTTGTTACGTTTTTCAGCCACTGATAATGGTTATAAACACTGACAAAAATGACAATGTTCCTTTTAAGAGATTTTTAATTGTATTTATTTCTTGTTTGTGCATTCAGATGGAATTTATGTTCTGATCACAGTGTTTGTTCTCACTTGCTTCCACGCGACACATACCAGTAGTGTGAGAAGTGGTGCAGGAAGCAAGAATGGCCAGAAGTTGAGTGAGTGATCCTGCATCATTGCTCAGAAACATATTTCATCACTGTTATATGATAATGAAACAACTGATTTCAGCTCAAATTGATGAATTTCCCATAAAAATGAACCTGATTTACACTGTAAGCTCTTAGAGGCAGGGACATATATATGTAAAATGCCTACCTCTACAGGCCCCAATCCCTGAAGGGGACGTCTAAACACGACCACAAGAGAAATAAATAAATAATGATAGGGAAACCCAGTTTTTAAAGGAGTGAAAAGGCACCAGATTAGCTAAAAATAAATACCTAAAATAGATATCAAAACTGCTAAACATACAAACATAATGGGTAAATGAAGCCCTTTCATGAATGGTAAATGCACAGAGAGTTTGGGTCAACACTTTTAAACTATCGATTGGGGAGTGGAAACTCCCTCCATTGTGCACTGCTAGATGTAATCCAGGGATAGAGCGCAGAAAACAAATCCTTGGGGTAATTGGACGACTTGCGGAACTGATAATGGGGCACATAGACCATCATTTCAAAGTAACTAGTATGAATCCAGCCCAGACTGGCAGTGACACAAAATTCTTTCCACAAGGTGGCTGTTAGTGGTGTCCGTGAAACGAGCTGGCAGCCTCATTTCAGTTTGCAGAATACGTACATCACAAAAACCATTACAAGTGACACTAAACGGTATCTCGAGAGAAATGGGTCATGGAAACAGAACTATTCTCTCCCTTCTAGAGATGGAAGCTTCACGTCAATGTTAAAGTATATTGGCAGATCAGCACGGAGGAAACCTAGTCTGCCACTACCACCATCTCTTTGTTCTGTCGGGTAATAGAGGGCTTCATTCTCCGGTCATGTTAACATAGCACCTTTCACAGCTCATGAGAGTGAGTAGCAAAAAGAGGTTCCACATCATCAGAAGTGACTTTCAAAAGCATTGTACTGACTCAGAAATAATGGGGGAAGATCCTCAAAGGGGGTAAATTGTCATAGGTCCACTGAAATTAATGATTCATTTACACCAGCTGAGGATCTGCCCTAATCCTCCAGAAGTGCTGGGCAAATTCACAAGGACGTGGCCACTGCTATGCAACCTTTAACATCGTATGACTGAGCTCTATTTCGGTCAGCTGCTGCCCTCTCTGGAGTCACTGCCAGCATTAGACTAGGTTGTGGAGCTGTGGAATATAGAAGTGTTTTCATACTGCCTCTGACAGCCAGCCTCTGTGCAATGCAGCTCTATTTACCTTTCTAGTCAGTACATTCTCTCCAAAGCCCATACAAATATATGCAGGGGAAATTATGGTACATTCACTTCGCTTTTATTCCACTGAATCTTTATTTAAGTCCACAGGGTGCATTTTATCCAGTCTAACAAATCCAACAGATGTCCTTCAGTTAGTTTTATAGGTGTAACTAAAATCATCCCATATACACAATAATTTCACTTTCCTGATAGCAGTTAGTTTTAGATACGACATTCCATGATGCAATTCATCTTTGAAATTATTGAGAAAGGGGTGGCAATATACCAAGGCAGCTAAATCTCTTAAAAGAGATTTACAAAGTCAATGAAGAGAAATTGCAAAACTTACCTCTTGACTATTTAATCACTCTTATCAAGACTAGCACTACCTTCCACAGGAAAAATAATAGAATGCTCACTAGCATTCAAATACATTATAAATCCAGACATAGCTTGGCAAGGGGCACTGCCAAGCAGGAAACACAGGTGCAGAATCTCTTCAAACTGAAATCAGGTGTATCATGATGGAAGTGATTCACTCAGTTATAAGGGAATTGGGCTAACTATCCGCACTCTGTGAGAAGCTCCTCTCGAGTGCTCTATGAAGCAGCTTCTATTGTGTGCTCACTTTCCTCCCTCAAAGATAATCTGCCAAATGTAGTGGTTTCAAGACAGGGAAAATATCTGGGTGGAAAAAGCCACATTAATTGAAATCAGGAAACTCTTTCATTTGTGATCTAAGGCAATTCCAATTTGTGTTTCATCAATTGAAAGACTAAAGAATTAATTCTGCTAAGTACTTGAGCATATGCCTAATGTCACGTGTGTGAGTTGTCCCATTAACTTCAATGAGACTATTCATGTGCTTAAAGTTTGGCTCATGCTCAAAAAGCTTGTTAACCTGGGCACTTCTATTCTTAGAGACAAGTTTGGTGTGCTTTCCAGTGGCTCTCAAACATTTTTACTGGTGACCCCTTTCACATAGTAAGACTCTGAGTGCGACCCCGCCCCCTTATAAATTAAAAACACCTTTTTATATATTTAACACCATTATAAATGCTGGAGGCAAAGCCGGGTTTGGGGTGGAGGCTGACAGCTCGCGATCCCCCATGTAATAACCTCATGACCCCCGAGGGACCTCGACCCCCAGTTTGAGAACCCCTGCTTTATATGCTCAAATGAACTCAACTGGTCTTCACAAATTAAAAAATATTTGACATTACAGGTTTAATTATCTTTTTCCACTGCTCTTATGGTGAGGCTGCTATACTTAAACTGGCATGACATCTCAGGTGTTCATTAATATACCTAAAATGGTACTTGCGAATATTCTGGTGAATAAAAGCCAGTGATTCCACTCACTAACATTTGCAATACTTTTTATTTACTTGTTCAGAAGCATTCAGATGATTTTTGTATTCATAAGAATGTTTATGGACAGCAAATGTTCATAGTGTCATGAATAATAGCACGGAGAAATATTCCTGAAAGTATTTGGACCAGAAGTGTTTTCACAATAATTTTTTATGCTTCACACAGTACATTTATCTAGTATTTCTAAGTGTTAGTGTAAAATTTGCAAAGCAAAAAAAAAAAGCTATGCATGAGATTTTCAAAATGCTGGCATAAACTCTGCTCCCATTAAAGTCAACAGATTTTACCATAGATTTACAAGTGTCTGGATTTGCAATTTTTAATCCCACCAGACTCCACACATGCAATATGTGTTCATAACAAAAGTGTTCATGAATAGCTGAGACATCATGTCACGGCTTATGAGAGGTGGGGTGATGAAATGTTGCCACACAAATTCTGCCAACAAAATAACTAAAAGCGAAAGGGAGAAAGGGGGGAACAACCATTGTACTGAGGTCTGCTACATTAGTCTTTATTCAGAAAAAAGAGAAGGGAATGGAAATCTTCTATTTAAGTACAACTACAGCACTGAGTTTTTACCTGTACTGACTGATGCTAATGACAAAGCAGAAATGCACTTATAAAATATATATATTTGTGTATGTATAGTGTGTGTGTACGTATAAACAGGTTTCATCAAACAAAAGCTGCCTCATAATTCTATTTAATTTATCTTGTATTTAACTAATCCAAGTACATATTTTTTCTCTTCCCTTTCCTTTCGTTTTTACAGGGCCAAATATTAATGCTATTTTCTCCCTGGTGAGAACTATTTTATAAAATTATCTAAATTTGACACATTCGTTATAGTATTTAATTTACCAGCAAGAAGTAATTTTGTGCTGTTGTATTTTTTAACCACTCATCCTGTACTGTAGTCCCATGCTGAACAGGATTATTCGTTGTATTAAACACCAAAGGACCTGTAGTTTTTATTGATGGCTAGTGTACATTGCTTTGTTCTTTAAACAAACTACAGATGTTTGTAAGCAAACTACACTTACCTTTGAAGCTAATTCCCCAGGATCCTTCTTTTCTAAAAATCCAGAAACTTTAGGAAGCTCATCATTATTGAGGTCAATACTCCATATATATTGTAATGTTAACAGCAAATTTCCATAAACCACCATGAAAGGTGAACTGATCATAGCATATTTCCTTCGGTCACGAATCATCCAAAGCGTGCAGGACCAGATCAATAACACAAAAGTCAACCAACTGTGATAAGTGATACTCCAAGCCTTGGGAGGGAGGGGATGGGAGAGAGAGACAAAAATGTTCATAGATTCACTTAGTTACAGTATTACTGCATACAGTCAGTAAAACTTTGCAGCACTGCCCAACTTCACACACCTTGTCTAGGGTATATTTTCAGTGCGATGCATGGAGATTTAGCCATGTGACTCCCATTTATGTTAATGAGAATTGGGCCGCTGACAGCTACAGTAGATCCTCTGGACTACATGCAGTAAACGGATTCCTAGGAAATTCAGTTTAAACCACCTTTTTTTGGTCTGGTACTTTTGCATCTTGGTACTTCAGTAGAAATGTTAGTTTAGGTCTCCCAGAGTTGAGCAGTAACTATAAAGCATGCTTTAGATTTCACTTTCTGTTGTACTCTAGATATTAGAGATGTAGTAGACTTAGACTGATTTAACCTAACCCAACCCAGTGTAGCATTGTTCCTTACAGTATATTCAAATGTTCTGCTCATTTTACAGGTATCAAACAACACGTTACTTAAAAACTGTTCTGGACAAAACACTGTATTATAGCATGGGGGGAAGTGTCTTTTTATTAAACACTGTTATTGATTTTGGACTAGATTCTGGTTGCCAATGCACCAGTATAAATCTAGAGTAACTTAGCTGAAGTCAACGGAGTCTTAATTTCTTTTTTTTGTTTAGACAGAAAAGCATGAAGTATTAAGAATATTTTAATCAAGGCTGGATTAGTCCTGACTTGATAAAGTGTCCACTATAGCCTCTGAGAATCATGCATATGCTATTCTTCCATTAAGATACAAGACTGTAACACGCACAATGGGTCACATTTGGGTATGGCATAAGTGGAACAGTAACTGAATTTGGTTCACAACACTTGGAACATAGATCCTTCGGAGCTGATATATCTCAGTTTGAGTCTAGAAGAAAGCTCAGAACAATACAGCTCCATCACTGATACTGACAGATTTGAACCCTGAATGGAATTTAAAGTAATTAAAGCACATGTGCAGCAGTCACTTAAAAAAAGAAAAAATGAATATACCACAGCAAGAAAATAACTACTTACTAACATTTCAAAAAGCACCATATTCAATCCAGATTCTGCACAAAGAATCTGCTATGTTTTGTTTATCTGCAGAGACTTTTCATGCTAAGGAACAGCAAACAAAAGTCCAAAAACCATACAAAATATCGGTTTTCTTTTGCTGTATGCAAACAAAAAGTGGCCAAACTATTACAAAAAAAATTTTAAGGCAAGATTGGGCCAAGAAACTTTATGGAAAATTGTATCCCAGTTGAAACCTTTTCAAAATAGTAAAACCAGACCTTGGAAGTGCTGACAGAGAACTATCACATTGTGAACTTGCTACAGTATAATCCAAGGCTAATTTGCACAAAATGACCCTTTGTTTTAAGGGATAGGCAATGTAATTTCAAAAAGAAGAAAATTAATCACAAAAAAATTTGTTGGCACAAAATTGTATTTTCCTAGATGTCTGCCCAGTGTAGATAAAAGAAATCAATGTTTATAGGTTTATTTTCATACAGAGTTTGAACTAGATGCATAGATTCAATTTGAAGTAGAAATGGCAAGTTTAGACTTACTGTATGACTATGAAGTGCTTTTTGCAGACAATTTCTGAATTGAGTAAATGCATTAAAACCCACTTAAAATTTTTTTTTGAACTATCAGAAAAATGAGCATGTTGAGCATTTTCTGATCTGCCGCAGGTAAAAAAAATACTATGTAGTCTAAAGCTAGAATTTTAAGCCCCGATTCTGTAACGGAATCCCTGTGAGCAGAAACCTGTGCCCTGCCCCATAAGGAGTTGGTGGTAGGATCAAGGCATAATTTGAGGGGTAATGTTTTAATAAACCACATGCATCCAACAGATTCAAATCTCAGGTCCAGATTTTACAATGTTGAAGTAAACACCAATGAAAAATCAACATGACTAATCACCCTTCACCAAGACATTTGGAAGATAAATATATTGATGCTGTCAATAATGTGGCAGAAGCTCATTTCCAGAGTTAGATGACATCTATAATTAGATTATGTCTGCTACCCCAACACAATTATTTTTGTCTTTCATACGTACCATCATTGCAATCAGAGCACAAATGTAACTTTGTTTCATGATAAAATGGAAGACAGAGACCATGGCATGTATTTTAACATTTTCTTTTTTCTCCTGAATGTCTTCCTCCTCTTCTTCTTCCTCGTCTTCCTCTTCTTTCTTTTCTAAGTAGAAAAAGATTCTTACGGTGCAATTCAAAATGAGTCTAATGGCAGCGCATGTACACACAGTTCAAAACCCTACAGTCCTTGCACAAATTGAGTAAATCTTGCAGGAATCAGGCCATTGTATTCTGGTATAGTGAACTCAGATGGTCCCCATGTGGCAGAATGTTGTGCTACCATTACAGCACTCAGCCATACCAATATTAATAATTTTGATATCTTGACAATGACCTGAGAACCACAGGAAAAATCCACAGAAGTACAGTACATACGGTCATGTAAGGACATAAAACAAATGTGTTGGTGGGCAGGCAAGTACAGTATTTTGGATAATATGCACCTGCAACTTGATTCAAAGATCTGCATGTTGATTGGTAGCATAAAAACATAAGAACTGTCATACAGGATCAGACCAATGGGCAATCTAGCCCAGTATCCTGTCTCTGACAGTGGCCAGAGCTTCAGGAGTGTACAGAACAGGGCAATTTGGAGAGATCCACCTCTGTCCTCCCCTTCCAGCTTCTGGCAGTCAAAAGTTAGGGGTGCTGTCAGCATGGGGTTATAGCCCTGACCATCTTGGCTAATAGCCACTGATGGACCTATCATCCATTAACTTATCTAGTTCTTTTTTGAACCCAGTTATACTTTTGGCCATCACAACATCCCCTAGCAATGAATTCCACAGGTTAATTGGGCATTGGGTGAATAAGTATTTTCTTTTGTTTGTATTAAGTCCGCTGCCTATTAATTTGAGTGACCCTGGTTTTTGCATTGTAGGAAAAGGTAAATAACACTTCTCTATTCACTTTTTCCACACCATTCATGATTTTATAGACCTCTATCAGACCTCTCCTCAATCATCTCTCTTCTAAGATGAACATCCCTATTCTTTTTAGTCTCTTCTTGTATGGAAGCCGTTCCAGACCCCGGATCATCTTTGTCTGAACCTTTTCCATTCCCACTATATCCCTTTTCAGATGGAGACTCAAACTCTAAAACTCTAAAACAGTATTCAAGGTGTGGGTTTACCATGGATTTATTTTTCTGTCTTATTTTCTCTCTCTTTCCTAATAGGTCCTAATATCCTGCTAGCATTTTTGACCTCAGCTGGACCTTCAACTCCAAGGTGACTCCAAGGTCTTTTTCTTGAGTGATAACAGTTAGTTTAGAACCCATCATTATACATGTGGATTTGGGATTATTTTTTCCAATGTGCATTATTTTGCCCTTATCAACACTGAATTTCATCTGCCAGTTGGTTGGCCAGTCACCCAGGTTTGTGAGACCCCCCTGTAACTCTTTGCAGTCAGCTTTGGACTTAATTATCTTGAATAATTTTGTGTCATCTACAAACTGTGCCACTTCATGGTTCACTCTTTTTCCAGATCATTTATGGGTATGTTGAATAGGACTGGCCCCAGTACAATTCCCTTGGGGACCCCGCTTTTTACCTCTCTCCATTCCGAAAACTGACCATTTATTCCTATCCTTTGTTTCCTATCTTTTAAGCAATTACTGATCCCTGAGAGGACCTTCCGTGTTATCCAATGCCAACTAAGTTTCCTTACAAGCCTTTGGTGAGGGACCTTGTCAAATGCTTTCTGAAAATCCAAGTACACTGTATTGACTGGATCACCCTTATCCACGTGCTTGCTGACACTCTCAAAGAATTCTAATTGATTGGCGAGGCATGACTTCCCTTTACAAAAGCCATGTTTCCTCTCCCCCAACAAATTGTGTTCATCCACGTGTCTAATAATTTTGATCTTCACCAATTTGCCCAGTACTGAAGTTAGGCTTACTAGCCTGTAATTGCCGGAATAATCCTCTGGAACCCTTTTTAAAAATGAGTTTCATATTAGCTACTTGCCAGTCATCTGGTACTGATGCTTGTTTCAGCAATAGGTTACATACTACAGTTAGTAGTTCTGCAATTTCATATCTGAGTTCCTTCAGAACTCTTGGGTGAATAGCATGTAGTCCTGGAGACTTATTGCTGTTTAATTTATCAATTTGTTCTAACAGTTTCTTAAATCTTATCAAGCTGCTTAACAAAAAATGCACAAGGCCAAGAATTTAACTATAGAGTAAATAATAAAATACCAAACACACGGGTTTATTCCCAAATAATTCATGTTACTACCTGACATGTCATCTGATGGCTCCCATTTATACTGTGGGGTTGAGTACATATCAGCTTTGGCAGGGCCATTCTCCAAGTGAAGTGTGGGGTGTATGGTGTGATAATCTACAGGAGTCCCATTCACTGTTACGAGCAGGACCTGCCAGACGAGGATTGGAGAAAGGCATTCCTTTTAGAAAAGCTCCTGTGTGAGTGAAACTGCTACTTACTAACTTCCATTAGGTATTGTTTCTAAAATATGAAAGAAACTTAATGAAATCATTTCAGCAGGTTTCTCTCTGTACTGAACAATCACACATTACACATGATGTTAACACAATTGTCCTAAGAATAATTTTAGCAGACCAATTTATGCTAAAAAGAATTATGACACCGATTTCATTAAATTTTCTTTAACAAAACAGTAATAATTATGATGATGGTGCTTTGCACTTCTACAGTAACTCCCATCAAAGAATCTCAAAACTCTTTATAAACATTACTTAATCCACAAACCATCACTGTGAGGCAGGCATTACACCTATTTTAAAGACAGGCCAGTTGAAGCATGGAAAGGTTGTGCCTTGTGTTAGGTGACATAGGCAATCTCTGGCCCAGCTAGGAAAGAACCCTGATCTTCTGACTAGTTCTATGCCATAGCAATGAGTCCCATCCTTCTCTTTCATGCAGCCTTGTGGCTGGATATTTTTTAAAGGTTAATTTTCTGTCTAATGGTTTCCAGTACCAATGAAGATGATGGGTACAAATGATTTGCATTTTTAAAATCAGTAGGATGATCTGCATTTGTTACAATTAGTAAAATTAGTTGTGTTTGTTACAATTGTTTATTACTCAATGTTTATGCCACTATTTGAACTTTCCTTTCTGCAATGTGTTGTTGGCCATTGTCCTTGTTTGGCAAGGGTTTCTAGCAGCTGGCCAATGGAGATGAGCCAGTTTTACAGAACGAATCTCACTGCAAAATACACTGTGTGGTTTCCTAATGCAGTAGTTGTCAGAAGGGCTGGGGGCCATATTCAGGTTTGGTTACAGCTGTTTCTAGGCTGCATGGCGGAGGAAATCTGCAGCCCCATTTGTTAAAGTATGGGACTGACACAGAGCATTTCCCCCTTCAGAATCTGCTAGGATTTCCTGCCTTTGGTCTAATTACTTTGTTGCCTGTTTAAATAAAGTTTCATACTTTCCACCATTTTAATATTCAACTCAGGTATTTGGTCATTTTTGCAGGACCTCAGCAATTCAACATGAACACTTAAAAAACACATCACAAAGAAGGAATTAAACCAAGTTTTAGGGTAGCTTATGTTAGAAAAGCAGAGTTGCATGTTTTGTTTAAAATACAAGGAACTAAGGAAGATCTTTTGCCAGTGAGTACAACCTCAAATATTCTAATGTCATGAGAGATACTTAGTAAGTTTAAATAATCAAGATTTTGGATAATCAAAGGAGTTCTCAATGTAATTAACAACAGGGAGGTTTGGCTAATCAAGGTTTTAATATAATGTCTAGACGAATAAAAAGATGAGAACATTTTAAAATTTCATGGAAACTTGTGTCTGTTGGGTATATCATAGAATCAAAGAATATCAGCTTTGGAAGGGACCTCAGGAGGTCATCTAGTCCAACCCCTTGCTCAAAGCAGGACCAATCCCCAACTAAATCATCCCAGCCGGGGCTTTCTCAAGCCTGACCTTAAAAACCTCTAAGGTAGGAGATTCCACACCTCCCTAGGTAACCCAGTCCAGTGCTTTGCCACCCTCCTAGTGAAAAAGTTTTTCCTAATATCCAGCCTATGCATAATCCATATATGCATAATCCATATTTACGCCATCTATATGAGTACAAATAAATTGCAAAGACTGATAGTATACTAACATCAGATGACTTGTATTCATCTTGAGTCATTGACAGAAGCTGTAAAAATCAACAGGACAGATTATTAATGAAGAAGCATAGCTCAAGCAGTAATAAGTTTAATAGATGCATGCATATTTGCTGATCCTCTCAACAGATCTGAATTTAAAAATTCTTACTGAATTTCTTAAGAGTCAGCAGAATTGTATATTATGCCCAATAAAACAACATTCATTTTAGCATAATTATTGGTATAACTTTTATTTTTAAATGTCTTAATTCCAAATCACAACTGAAGATGTTATACTGAAATTATATGTGATGGTCATGGGAATTCATCAATATGTTATTACAGTTAGTATCAAATGACTTTCCAATGAGACACTTAAAATTAAGGTTTTTAAAATGATTATTAGAATTTCTCTAAGTATAAAATCATTGTCAACAGAATTATTACACTAGGATAAAAATGTTATACCTACATTTCAAAGTATTAATAATATCATTGGAATTACTGGAAGAGCATTACATTTTCATCAACAGCATCTAATTACTGCCCTCCATCATTCAGCAAAAATTACTGATATATTATGAAGCAGTAGATGAAGAGATATAGACAGGGCCGGCTCTGGCTTTTTTGCCGCCCCAGGCAAAAAAGCCTCCCGCCGCCGCCCACCCCCCGGCAGGGGAGGGCGGCGAGCCCCGCCGGGGAGAGCGGAGCCCCAGCGGCCAGAGCGGGGGGGGGGGGGCGGCGAGCCCGGTCGCAGCGCCGGGGGGAGGGCGGCGAGCCCAGTCGCGGCCCCGCTCTCGGGCCGGAGCGCCGCGCCGCCCCCCTCCAGGTGCCGCCCCAAGCACCAGCTTGGTGGGCTGGTGCCTGGAGCCGGCCCTGGATATAGAGATCATCAAAACGCACTCTAGTAATTTCTATTAGTTGAAAATTTGATAGATAATAATTACATAGGGCTAAAGGTTGCAGTCTTTTCTCAGGCAAAGCTCACGCTTGAAATCAATGGGAATTTTGCCTGAGAAAGGACAGTAAGATGTGACTCATAGAAGAAGAAAATGTTGTAACTACAGTATTTTGAAATTTGTTAAGAATACTCAAACTCATCTTCCTGCAACATATTGGCTTTGCCAAGATTACATTTGGCTTATAGAAGATGTATCTTTTGGACAAGAGAACGTATTTCTCTACAAGTAATCAGCACCACATGTAGTGAAACTCAGAATATAGCAGAAGGCTTTTGTTTGGGGTTTTTTTTTTTTTTTTTTTTTTTTTTTTTAAAGAAAGCAAGCTTTGGGACCCATTTTTCAGTTTTTATTTATGAAAGTGGCTCTCTTGAGTTAGGCTGATAGGGTTGGGCCCTTGCTCTGTGACATGAAAGCAGTGTGTGAAGCACAATGATCCCACCACATTAATCAACTTTTACTGCCTTAGACTTTTAAGTCTACATGAAACGTTGTAGAGAACCATGGCCTTACAATAGGACCTAGCAAAGGCTACAATTGTATTATAGGAATATATTTATTTTATAGTTTTTATAATAAACAATTATGACTGGGGCAGCCCCTTTCTGTACTCCAAACCATTAGTGCTTCTCTTGGGCAATAGATCCTTCAACAAATGCAACTCTATCTATTCTTGTTCGTTCTATTCCTATGTGTGCGAATGTCCCTATCACCTATTGCCCACATATTACACTGACTCAGCTCCACTTCTGCTGAAAACGTCATCCATGACTTCAGCTCCTCTCGCCTAGACTACTGCACCTCCTTTCAACGGCCTTCCCAATGCCCAGCTTTCTAGAATCCAGCGAGTGTAGAATGCTACCTGTCTTTAAAATATGCAAACATCCTCAAACAACTCCACTGGATTGGTTTCATTTCAGGATCAGGTTCAAAACTATCTTTCTTGTTTATAAAATCCTGCATGGAATTGTTCCTATCTAGCAGAATTTGTCCTCCTGTTCTCCCCTTTTTATTCCTTCCCCTTATTTAACACATTCTTCATCTCGCCCTCAACAACATCTCTGCACTGTCAACTTAAGAGTCTTTTTCTCTGCAGCTCCTGCACTCCGGAAACTCCTGAATCTCTCCTCTTCATTTGTTATTTAAATGCTCTTTCCCGCTGTCATCATTTCACTTTGTAAACGTACACTACCGCCACTGCAAAGCATTCTGGAATACAAATTGTCTGAAAGTTGTGATACCATATATATCAGATCACATCTTTTAACTGCCTTTTGTTGGTTTGTGGTTATCACCGTTCCAGATCAGACAGTATGAAGTTGAAGATACTTCCAACGTATGTCTTCACTGGCTTTTCTAATAGCAGCTGAGGATATAGGAGTACTAAAGTTACTACTGCAATTGTTGGGGATATAGGAATATAGCAATCTCTTTGTTGTTATAGTTCAGTGTCCAGTTCACTCAGAGCAGTTTTTATTATTATTACTACTACTACTACTGTTATTGTTACTTCCATCACAGTACTCTTGGGGATTGGAAATGTTAATTTAAGGCTCACCCTAATACTTTTGGAGCCAAAATCTGTGGGCAGCTGACCATATGAGAATTCCTCTAGTGGGCAGGGAGAAGGAGACTCTTTGTTGCTGTGAAGCTGGTGGAGTTGGCTCCTACACCAACTACCCTCCCCGTCCTGGCATCGGGGTGTGCAGGGAAGAAAAGGAACATATTGGTGGCAGGTTGGGTTGTGTTGCAGGAGGGCAAAGGCAGCTTGGCCTCATCAATTAGGGAGCCTAGTCAGCTGTCATAAGGTAGATCAGCCTTTATTGCAGGTATCTGGCTTCCGGACAGCACTTCCTACTCTCCTGTCCATAGGGCCGCCCAGCTCAGGAGAGACTCTAATCCTGGATCTTTTTGTTTTGGAAGCTGGAAACACAGGAAACATTCTGCTTTCACTTCCTAGCATGGTCCCTTGTTTTTCTTCTTCTAAGTTTTACAAAATAATAACATTCCTTTCCCCAAAGTCTTGGTGTCAAGCCAATTACATAATCACTCACACATTTTTACTTGGAACTTACACCACTATGTCCCCAAATAGTAATACATTACTTTACAAAGTTACCACAATAAAATGAACTGCACGTCTGAAACATTTTGACGTAGGGAACCCTTTCCCCAGGTCTTACTTTTCTCTCATCAGCTGTGTAGTGGCTTGCATACCACAAACTTCGTCTCCTTGAAGTCGGGTTGCAGTCTGTTTCTTTGTCTTCTTCACTGATACCAGATTTCTCGTCATCATCCATCTCCTAAACAATGGGAATGGCAGGGATAGTTGTAATTCTTAAATAGTGATTTTCTAAGAGTAACACTGTGGTACCTAGATGCTGTTCTTCCTCTAAATTATATGAAATATCTTCTAGTGTTTAATGTACTGTATCTATGATGGATGTGTTTTATTAGTATGACATTTTCAGAAAATGATGACAGAGCTATTCTATAATTGCTAAACCCATCAATATCAAGATGTTTCCTGATTCCTACAGGATACCATAAGTAACCAGACTTCCACATCCTGCTTTATAGTATAAACCAAACCATAAAGTATAATGCAGATATGTAATCATTTTAAAGCTAGATTTACTGAAATTAAAACTCTCTGTTTGTCTATTTGAATGTGAGGACAGCATTGTCTTGCTATACTGAGAAGTAAATTAAATGAAAAAAATATTTTCTGGACATATGTAATATGTATTCAACGACTACAGAATAACACACTAATCCTGTTCCTGATATACGGTAACACAGTAAATGGATCAGGATAGTGAACTGATTCAGAACATCTACAAGCCACACCTTGAACAATTATGGAATCACATGCCCAATGGGAAGTTTCTTCCAATCCCCTAAATTTTAGTAGTTAGGTTTTAATCTCACTGTGAATAACAAAACTGAGGATTTTTAGGATAGAGTGTACATGCTCTAAAGTGGGTTATCCCGTGAGGAAAAGCACTCTACTAATAAACATTTGAGTCTAACAAACAGGAAGCATTAGAGTCTGATTCTGCATTGCTGGGGCACTAACATTATAGTTACCTTAAATCATACTTCATCTCTATGTAATTTCTATCAGCCCTGGCTAAATAGCAGGCAGTTTAGAGAGTTGATTACACATAAGTATTAAGCCAAATTCTGATGTCATTTATACTGCTGTAAGGCCCCAATTCAGAAAACCAATCCCTATTTAACAAAGCATTTAAGCACATGCTTAACTTCAAACACATGCTAAGGTCCCACTGGCCTGAATGGGACTTAAACATGTGTTCAAGTGCTTTACTAAATTGCAACCAAAATCCAGAGTATCTATTGACTTCCGTGCTCAGGATTTACACTGATGTAAATTAGAACAGATTTTGATCTAGTCAAGTAAATTTTCATATTTTTCCCCACTTTCAATGGTCTGACTCAACAGGCGGAAACATGATTTTTTCCTGCACATTTTATTCTTTCCATTTAGTAGATACATTTTATTTCTTTGTTTCAAATGACGCCTGAATTAAATTTGCTTTTGATTTACTCCCTCCTCTTTTTTTTTTTTAAAAAAGAGGACAGTATCATAACCAATGTCCACTCAGCTCTGGGAACAATGTTTGTCAGTTTATTTGAGCTCCATCTGCTGACTCTATCAAAACAGCACAAAATGTTACTTTTGTCTTCTTCCTCAGGCCAAGATTTTCAAAACCAAGACTCTGAAGCTGGGCTTTAATGGGGGTTGTGAGGTTCTCTGCCCTTTTATATATCAGCCCACTTATTCTGAAGTCTAACCCATGAAATAGAGCTGAGATTTACAAAGCTGCCCTTGGGAGAACGGAGCCTAAATAATCCAGGTGGATTTGAAAAACCCACTCTACAAACCTCATATTAAGCTCCTCTTTTTAAAAAGCTCAGCCTAAATAAGCAGTATTTATTAATTTATTTTTACTTCTCAAAAGCAGAGCAGCACATTTCACATATGTATGTATATTTATATTTAGAATCTAGAGGATATTTCAAACCAAATTTTAACAAATGTAAAATAAACTAATTATAAGGCTTAAATTTGCCATGCCACTTTCATGTATTGAAAGTTTTCAGATAAAAGTGGCCCACAACAAAACATTTACCAGCAACATTTAGTTTGGCATCGATTTGACCAAACAAACACTAAGTGTACTGAGGTATTGAGATAATGATTTTAAATTATACAAACTTCAGGTGGTGATGGGTGAGGGTGGGAAATGGAGTCTTGTTTAATCTATTTCAAGGATGAGGAAAAAGAGGTAAAGCAGGTCATTATCTAGCAGACAATCTCATAATTCTAGGCTGCCTTTGGCTTGTCCAACACTTCAAGTTCTCCCACAATACAAGCAACTATGATGGTTGAGTGCACAGCTCCAGGAGAGTTTAAGAGTAGCACTAACAATGTTCTCCCAACCCCCACCTTCCCCACCAGACTAACTCAAACAACACTGCAAATAGTAGAGGCCTGGTTCTCTTCTCACACAAGCTTCACAGTGAAGTTATTCCTGATTTACATCAAAGTGAGCAAGTGAAGAATCAGGCCCTAGATTCATATTTTAAAATATTATCCAGGGAACCTCTGGACAAACTGATTCCTGATATAACTTCACTGGAGTCACCAGAGATAAATTGGCTTTTCTTGTTTTATTAAATTATTGCAGGACTCAAGGGCCCAAACATGAGGTCCTTACTCAAGCAAATTTCCAAACAATTTTAATGGGAATTTTTCCTGAGTAAAGACTGAAGGTGAAATTCACCTCTGCGTAGAAGTAGCACAATCATGCACCATTTAAAATCCCACTTATGCTCCTTTTTGAGCACTTTTTCTCACCCTGAAAACTCAGGACCCAAATGTGGGCATAATTCCTTGAGCATTAGACTCATAGACTTTAAGGTCAGAAGGGACCATTATGATCTTCTAGTCTGACCTCGTGCACAATGCAGGCCACAGAATCTCACCCACCCACTCCTGTAACAAACCCCTGACCTATGTCTGAGCTACTGAAGTCCTCAACTTGTGGTTTAAAGACTTCAAGGTGCAGAGAATCCTCCAGCAAGTGACCAGTGCCCCATGCTGCAGAGGAAGGCGAACCCCCCCTGCCCCCAGATCTGCCCTGGAGGAAAATTCCTTCCCGACCCCAAATATGGCGATCAGCGAAACCCTGAGCATGTGGGCAAGACTCACCAGCCAGACACCCAGGAAAGAATTCTCTGTAGTAACTCAGATCCCACCCTCTCTAGTGTCCCATCACAGGCCATTGGGCATATTTACCACTATTATTCTGAAGCTGCATTGTACAGAATAGAGAAATACCATCTGCTCTCAGATTGACCCATTCAGCAAATTTATCATCTTTGCCTTCTGAACTTGGTTAATAATGTAGAGGAGATAAAGGTAAGATCCTCACTACTATGCTGCTTTGACATTGTTTCAAATTGTAAAAACAGAAGACACAGGCAGCTACAATAAAAGACAAGGACCAAATTCAGGTCTCCATTAAAGTAGCATAAATCCAGAGTAACTATTGACTGCAATGGAATTATGGTGGATTTAGACTGGTGTAACTGAGAATATAATTTGGTCTAAAATCTTCTAAGACAAAACAAGTAAAAAGAAAAATCAATTCCTGATCCATGGCACAATCAAAGGAGAAAAACCATACATAGTGAAATAGTCTATAAAACTGCTAAGATTTAGAAACCTTTATGGAGAGATGTTGTAACAGTGTATCTTCTGCATCAAAAAAGAAGCCATAGTACAAAGACAGCATTTATCTTGCAATGTTTTCGTATTTTGATATTTTCCCTTTATAAAAGTTAACTTTTGAAGACATCCCCACTAGCTTCCTATCCTCCTAAAAATGTCTGACTCTTAATAAAGAGGCACAAGGCGAGTGAGGTAATAAATGAATGACATTAATATTCCACAAGGATTCAACTGAAATTTAGACTCTTCACAGCTTTAGTGCTGTGTACCTGTACTACTATGTGCAGCATTACCAAACCCAACTTCAAAAATCGTGAGTCAGACCTCCACAAATCATTCCATTTTTAAAAATAATGAAATTTGGGCTCATTTTATTTTCCTTTTGTTTTCTGAGTCTTCGGGGTGCCTTTGTAATCAGGTTCCATGCTTTTCTCCACAACCATAAGATCGAAGAACTTTACTTTTTATAAAAATGGAAGGTGAGATGTTCACATAATCACATGAATCCTGGACTTGGGGCTTTAAGAAAAACACCAATTATTGCTAGACTCATGATAAAATTGCAAGATTAGGCAAAACTTTGTATGTTTTACAGTATCCTGCACCAGATTGCAGCTGATATTTTGGTTTTTGGGCAACGAGCCCTTGAGGCTGCTTTTAAATTTTCATTCTCTATTGCCTTTGGTATGGGGAAATTTTCAAGGCTGTGTAAAGACCATGAAACACAGAGGAAGATTGCTCACCAGTAACTCCTGTGTGTTGCACTTACTATTCATTTTGCTGTGACTTTATGGTGCTTTGCACTATGAGAAGAAAAAAAAAAACCCCTACCTACTGTAGACAATATTCACACAGACTTCCACAATTCAAAAGTAAGCTAAGAGCTGATCTACACTAATGCTCTGAGACGATCTAAGTTACGCTAGTTCAGTTACGCAAATTATGTAACTGAAGTCGACATAACTTAGGTTGACTTACTTCAGTGTCTACATCGTGCTACGTTGACATGAGACGATTTCTCATCGACATAGCTTCTGGCTCTCGGGGAGGTGGAGTACACAAGTTGATATGAGAGCACTCTCCCATCAATTTAGCGTGTCTTTATCAGACCCACTAAATCAACACCGCTGCATTGATCACAGCAGTGCCGCTTTAGCCGGTAGTGTAGACATGACCTAAGTCTTTGATCCCATAGCCCTTAATCACATAAGTAGTCCCATTGACTTTAAGAGGACTACCTATGTAAGAGCTGGAGGGACTTATCAGAAAGAGTGTATTTAAGACAGCAGCTTGGAAATGGCTGCCTCACATAAAAATTTCGTTCTACTGTTTGCAAATGCCAGTAACAATCTGAGAATCTTACAGTCATTAGTGAGCATTAGAAAAATTCTACTCTGTCAGCTTCATTCTCTTCATAAAGTGGGAAGAAAAAATATATTATCCTTACAACGGGCTCTTGTAGCCAAAGGCGAATAAGAGTTGCCAGGGTGTAGTACATCATCAGCAGTAATATGGGATTGGCATGGTGATACCAGAGTAGGTCTTGGTTTGCTATGATCTTCCAGGTGCTTGAGCAGTTGGTTTGAATTACTGAAGTGACACCAAATAACCTGTTCAAAAAGAGTAAGAAAAAAATTTAGAGAACAAATATTTAATTTTAAAATGTTTTAAAAGTGCAATTAACAGATACATTATTATCTATCTTAATTTTGTTTAATTTTTCTACTTCTGAAACATTGGCTTTAATACAGTTTGATTTGATTAACATTTTATTTATTTAAAGTGTCAACTGAAATGCAGGTCAAAGTCAACGTTTTCATTTCACAACATTTAGTGAGTACAAAAAAGGGAGGGTTTTTAAAAATAAATTAAATAAATAAATATATGGAGCTATACCTATCTCATAGAACTGGAAGGGAACCTGAAAGGTCATCAAGTCCAGCCCCCTGCCTTCACTAGCGGGACCAAGTACTGATTTTGCCCCAGATCCCTAAGTGGCCCCCTCAAGGATTGAACTCACAACCCTGGGTTTAGCAGGCCAATGCTCCCCCCAGAAAAGACAGAAAATAAGGACATTATGTCTTTGCACCTCTCCATTCCAATGAAAAAACTACCTTGGACCTGACCCTTGTCGACCCAGGCCTGAAGAAAAGGAAAAAGAAAACTTCATGGCAAATCTGCGTGTTACATCATAGTAGTCACTGCCACTCCCTCTGGGTACAACCTTTAACATTTAGTAAGTTATGATTCATAACAAATTAGTAAATTGTCCCACATCATCATTCTAGTCACTTTGTCCAGGATAGAGTTGGAGATCAACTCATCTCAGTAATATCTATGGAGGCTTCAGAACTAGGAGTTTTAATGCACTGTCCTAAAAACCTAGGCCCTAATCCCCCAACACTTATATATATGGGTAATTTTACACAAATGAATAGTCCATCTGAATTCAAAACTGTTCTAGATGGAAAGCGAAGCCATTCAAGAAACACATTTTAGAGGGGGGCACAAGAAAAGTTATTTGTGAAATTACTTGTGAAAAATAACATAGGTGAAGTTTTCCACAAAGAAAACATGAGGCATCTCAGAGAAGGATTTTTAAATTATTATTTTGCTTTGGCCTGGACCTCACAAAAGTTTCTGGCTGGTAAGAATGGCTTTTTGCAGATTGAAAATTATTTCAAACAAGAAAACTGCTGTATTTTCTACAATTAAAATTTAAAGCAAGATGCTAGAAATTTCACACCAAAACTGGTGAAAACTCCATAATGAATCTAGTTCCTACAGTTTAAAATATTTTTGCAGAGTTCTAAAGCAGGGTTATTAAAGTCTTCAGCATGATTTAACACTATTTAACTAAAGCTTAACTAAAGATGGCAAAGCAAAGATTTCTTTGGAAGACTTAAGCAGTGATCTCTATTCACCTAAGTACACTGTATTTTTTAATGTCTAACTAGGCAGTTAGGCATGCCAGATAATGACTTTCTGTAGGATTATTGCATACCTCACCTTCTGACTTCAACCAACCAACACAATAATTCCACAGAAACGTACTGCCTGGTGTGTGTCTTTTTGAGGTTATGAAAGGAAGAGAATTAAAAAGGGGAGATTCATACTTTTTCCATTTACTAGAAATTAGCAATATGGGTGTAACAGCATCAATCACTAATCAGAAATCTCTAAATCCGATATTCTAACACGTTCTATTAAACAATTTCCTTAGTGGTCACTTCTCATTCTGAGCGCTAACATGAGCCAGAGGCTATAAACTTTAAGATATTTTACAGTTTTTGGGTGGACCCCACTGCTTGGAAAAGTAAAAGAGAATTCTGCATACAAAATAAAATGCTGTAACTATAGAGGAGCCTGAGCGGCCAGGTTTGGATATGGCCCAGAATCAAACTTCCTCTGAGTTCAAGCACATTTGGACCTGGTGATTTGGTTCAGGTCTATTTAACTGCAACATATGCTAAACTGTGTTATGTTAATATTTCTACTATCATAGTAGAACATCCTCTGTTGCCTTCTGCCTGGTCTCTCAACCAACTCGCATCTCTTCTCTCTTACTGATCAGATACATCCAGCTCCCACCATTCTATCTTTCTCCTTTATTTTATGCTACATTCTTCTCTCTACTATTTTAAAATTTTATTTGTAAGTACAGCATTGAATCACACCAACTCTGTTTCACAACTGTATCATTGTTTCAGGTCATTATCCAACTCTCACTGAAGTCAATAAGAACCTTTAGTTTATACTAAAATCAGGAAAAGAAAAGATGTTACTGTAGGTCATCTACTTTATCTCTCTGTCAGTGTAGAAATGATTACAATAAATATTCTACTGCTTTGTACAAAATCTACAGTAATTTTAAAGTTTCTAGATTTAAGTCTTCATTTAACCTCCCTTGGAAGACTACTACACATTCTACATGGTTTTACTGTTCAGAAGATTTTCTTGTTATTCAGCCTAAATACAGTATTCTTTGTTTTATTTTCATTCCCATTTTGTACCACACTAATTAATTCAAGTCCCTTCTAGCTGTTTATTCCTATTAAATACTTGTAGATCATTACAGTGTGCCCCACTTAGTTGTCACATAGCTATGCAATACCTATTTAGCTCTTTTAACCTTCTCATAATTCAGTACCTCTAGATCGATCATTCTTTATCTTCTCTGAAGTCACCCAAATGTTTCAGCATTCTTCCAGTATGAAGGTACTCAACACAATATTCACTATGTGCCTGATCCAAAGTATAGTCAAGTCAAATGGAAATATTTTCATTCATTTAATGAGCTTTGTACCAAATTGCCTCTCATGCAGCATTTGTGCCTGGCCATTAACTTCAATTCGAATTGCGGGTGCACAGAATCACTCAAGATCAGACCCTAAAACCTTTTAGTTATTCAAAGCTTTTAAATACATAACAAATATTCTGGGATGACTTCCACAATACGAAGTTGCATGAGAAGTGATATATGACATACCATGCTTCGTTCTAGATATTTTGATGTCAGAAACATGTCACAAAATCAGCCCAACTGAGGATCAGCTATATTTTGAGCTTGGTTCTGACCTTAGTAGACGTCTTTTCCAACATATATAGCACATACCATAAGTAAAGGGAAAAGAGGAAATAAAATGCAAAACTTGACAAGCATGTAGCTTGTTCAGTCTGGATACTGGAAAAACATCTGGAGAAACCCATCTACTACTGTATACTCTTTGCTTAAAAAATCATATTTAGCTCCTTGCTAAACAAATGATTTTCCAGGTACAACACAGTGAGCCATTCCATTTGTGCATAGAGGCAGAAGTTGTATTTTTCAAAGTACAATTTAGTATTCCAAAAACATATTTTATAGAAATCAGTGAATTCACAGAGAGGCAATGATCCAAGAAGTGTTTTAAATTATGAAGGCCAGGAGGAACTTTATTACTCTGCTGAGGAACATTAGGAAACAGCTCACTTAAAAATAGCTTTTAAAACAAAGGTAACAGGTGGTTGTCCCATTGCTGCTTTTCAAGCCCATTTTCCCAGCAAAAGCTTCCTACTGAATCTGTGAAGTATCCATTTGGTGGATGTACTCTGAACTTCCAAGACTCTTTCTGACAAATTTGCAAGCTGTGACTATGATAAATATTTAATAGTAATTTAGCAGCAAAATCACATTGACTTAGAATGGAAATGTTGCTTTTAATTGAAAACCATGAAAAACTTTCTCACGATATTCTAAATTATCGAGTTGTTGAAGTGTCACACAGATATTGGCTGCACTCAGCTCACAGCTAACACGTGTCCAATTTACAGCAGTTTATTGGTACTTTAAGATGTTATTAGAATCAGTGCTATGTTATGGTATTAAGTATCCACTGATTAATGGTTAAGCGAAATTAAATATACATTATCCACAAGACTGCTGAGCAAATTATTTATGATCAGCTATTGCAATATATGCTACATACAGTCGTCATGAACTGGGGCATTTTTCATTTCAAAAACAGATTCACAGGTCCAGATTCTGGTCATGTTGATGTTATTAGCAGTCTATCCATGGACTTCAATGGGACCAAGACTTGCTCCATCAGTTTTTAAACCAGAAGGGCAATTATGATAATGTAATCTGACTCACTGTGTAAACCAAGTAATTCTTGCATTAAATCATAAATTGCAGTTGAATTCAAGTGTATACTTTAGAAAGACATCTAGTCTTGATTTACAGATTCCAGGTGATGGAAAATCTATCACATCACTTGGTTGGCTGTTCTAATGGCTAATTACCTTTATTGTTAAAATTTTGCACTTCATTTCCAGTTTGTATTTGTTTAGCTGCAACTTCCAGTAATTGGATCTTGTTATACCTTTCTTGGTTAGATTAAAGAGTCTGCTACGATAAGATACCTTTTCCTTGTGTAGGTAATTATAGATGTAATCAAGTCATCTCAATCTTCTCTTTGATAAACTAAATTGATTGAACTCCTCGAGTCTCTCATTGTAACAACTATTTTCTAGACCTCAAATTATTCTTGCAGCTCTACTCTGAACACTTCAACTTTTCAACACCCCTTTTTTCAAGTACGGACACCAGAAATGAATTCCAGTAATAGTCTCAGCAATGCCATATGCAGAGGAAATTCCACCTCCCTACTCCTGCTCAATATTCCCATTTCTACATCCAAGGACTACTGTAGCCTTTCACACACAGAATCACAATGGAAGATTATGTTCATTTGGTGATCTACTATAATAACCAAGTTCTTTTCAGAAGCACTGTTTTCCAGGATACAGTCCTCTATCTTGTAAGTGTAGCCTAGATTGTTCCTATATACATAACCTCAGATTCTGCTGTATCAAAACAAATATTGCTTTCTCCCAGTTTACCAAGCAAACCCGATCATGCTGTGTATGTAGGTTCAGAAGGATTAGATTTTTATCAGTCAATGTTGATAAGCGTCAATTTCTCTGTACACACAGAAAAAATATTTCCATAGACAATAACTGAAAATTTACAGCTATGCAAAGTAAGAAAAATGCTTCTTGAGAAATGATTAGTGCTAGATTTAAGGATATTTACTTTGTATATTTTGAAATGTGATGTTGACAATTT